CTACTACTACTACTACTACTGCCCCTCCTCCTACTGCTCCTGCTCCTGCTGCTGCTGCTGCTACGGATGTCACGAAGACGGCTGACATGACTAATAATTAGTGCAACTGCTACTGCTGCTGCTACCGCTAATGCTGCTTCTTGTCCAGCTCCTGCCTCCTGCTCCCACGATTACAACGACGACTATCGGCCGTTGGCGCGATGCCAGACCTAAGCTCCAAAACACTGTCGTTGCCCCCCTCCAAACCCTCGCCTACCGTCCCCCAATACCCATCCATACCCCATCCATGAAGCCTCGAGCCTCATCACCATTGAGACCCGAAGATGAGACCAAACATCCTGGGCATGAAAGGTTCAGGCTCCAACTAGATAATAATGATAATATTGGTGTAGACATTACGCAAAAGAAGCATCATCAAGAACCATGCTGATGGCCCTCGTGAGGAACAAAGCCGCATGAGGAAGCAGAACTGCAGCACAAGCTTGTTTCATAAACGGTTTCAAGAAAGATAGTTGTGAGCGTGTTGACGATGGCTTAGTCGAGAGTGGGCATTTTCACTCGTTGAGCTTCTTCCAGACTGCTGCGTCGACCCAGGTAGGCGAAAGCTTCCAGCTCCCGAGGCAGACGGTGCACTTCGTATCGTCCGGTTGGTTCTCGGCTCTTGAATCTTAAGATGTCAGCGACGTCCACTTTCACAATGGTGGATTTGGTAATAGTGGATGTGCCCATGAACATGTGCTCAGTGCAATGTTTGATAAAGCTTTTGCGACATCGCACTTCAGATTTACACGCTTGAGCACTCGTTCGCCAGTGTGCCAGGGAGTCGTTGCTTCCCGCTTCTGCCAGCAACTTGGTGCAGATGATTTGGCCAGTCTGTCGGATATGGCGCAACCAAAAGGGCAAAGAGCACTGCACTACACTCGTCCTATGCAGCAGCCATGGCCCATGGCAGTCGTGTTAGTTGTCAAACTGTGGACATGAGCTTGCTATGGAGCATGTCTGCCCTGAGGCAAGTCTTTCCACCCTGAGCTGCTGTCAACCCTTCGAATTTTGGAAAGAGAGACACAGACGAGCTCAAATGGCCCGTCTTCAGGGGAGCGGGAGGCACGAGCAGAGCAAAAGGGAGGCAAGGGCCCGATTCTGGCAGCATGCGGCTGCACCACTGGTTTGTGGCGATACGTGGCGGGGCAGCTCAACTTGAGCCGCTGCTCAGCTTGATCCGGTTTCCTTGTTGCCATGGTGTGGTGGTCTCCTGCCCTCCTGAAAGGTTGCTGTAGCTTGCGCAGCTTGCTTGGCTACACTGCGCGGGGTGAAGCCGCACCAACCAGAACGGCTCTGGTCTCAGAACGTCTCCAGCCGATCAAGCATAGCCCCTCATGGACCTCGTGCAGTCTGACTAGCTCACATCCCCGTCAGTGCATGTGTTCAGACAGCAGGGTGGGATTTAGGTGGGAATGTGATCCAGAGCTCCACTTCTGCGATTGTGCCTCCGCACATGCGTCCATCATGGCATTCAGACCTGTGCTTCCACAAACTGCCAGTCATATGGGAGTTTCCGAAAATAAGGGGTACCTTATTTTGGGGGGTCCTTATAATAAGGATCCTACTATTTAGGGTACTATACTAGGGTCCCCTATTTTCTGAAACTCCCATATGCTTAGATGATCTTAGATGCACCACGCGGTCACTCAGTAAGCCGGGCTTGAATGGAATCACCGACGGCTGCAGTCATCAATGCGGATCAAGTATCTCCTTTCCCGTGTTGCTCTGCGAAATCCCAACGATGCAAGAAGCAGAGCAGTTGTTTACATTTTAGCAGGAGAGAGATTGTGTAGTTGTCGTGAGATGTCCGCAAGACGCAGAAGCTTTACGATGCTTTACGTTCGTATATACCCACCTCATGCAATCGTGCTACATGGATACTGGAGCACCGCATTATTAGCAGCTTTGCGATCAAATAACCCTAAACCCTAAACCCTAACAGCCCACCAACTAGTTACAGTGACAGTGTGGATTTTGGTGCACACATGCGAACTCTTTGCCTTCTTAGAGGTTTTCTACGTTAGGGTCCTGGATTGTCCGAGTGTGAGCGCGGAAACCCTAACAGCAGCAGCAGAACCCTTCACATCTCCGAGGATGCCGGCGTATCCGCGCATGCTTGCTTGGAGTCGGCGTGCGGCTCTTAGAGAGCAGTGGCCCGCCCGAGAAGCCTTCGAGATAATAAGTCCATGGAGGTTGCGGACAGTTGAGCAGTTAAAACAGTCCAGCAGTTTGGAGCACATTGGGTTGTTGAGCCTCTTCAACTCATCCGTCTTCCGCTGTTGTACACGCCGGTACAGAACCGATGGCCGCTGGAATTGCATGACAGAATGCAAACAGTAAACCCAAGCGCTGTAGAAACAAATAACAGCATTGGTACTGCCTGAAATCACCCGAAACCCCAAACCCTAAACCGTTGCAATATTCAGGAGCTTGTCGAAGGCCTTTGCGCAGCGGTTAGGTCATTCGAAGGAAAATTATTATGCCGCCTTGCTACAATACGTCTACTGTACTCCGTATAAGGCTAGCCGGGTCGAAGACTTGATCTAAGACGGCCTTCAGGGTTCAGAGATGTGTGCTGACCGGCGAACTAGGCCAGTCGCACTGGGCCGTCTGGTTGATACGGGTGCAGCTTGTCCCTTTGGTTGGGCTTTATAGGCCTAGTTGGGTAAGATGTGCCATATTTGCTTGGAGGGGGATGGTAGCGTATGTCCAACTGTCGTCGCGCGCTTGAATCCGGGGTTATGTGGTGACCTGGAAACTGCCAGCTTGGATTTCGCCCCAGACAGTTACTGTAGCCTACTACGAAAGCTGTTGATGCTTCATAATTCGAAGAGAGAAGGTAGTGAGCCGCATCGTCTGCATGTCATGAACGCGCGCAACTACATGTTGGGTCTTGCGGAGTTGTGCAGAGAAAAACGTTGAGTTCGTGGTCTCTGCTCCTTAGATCGTGCACTTTGGGATGGTGGCGGGGGTGGGGGTAGCTGTGCTTGGAACGTCGGTGGTGGCTGTGGCGGTTACTTCCTTTTTGCCTGTGCGTGTTGCCCCGCGATTGACATCACCATGTTCGCCACTGCGACAACACAAAGTGCATGTTTCCCTAGCCAGCCATTGAACATTGGATCTCAGACACGCTTGAGTATGATTCAGTCATCTTCAGCCTTGGTGGGTCTTGGTCTTAAATGTCTCCCGGCACTTGCTGACTTTGAATTACACATGCCAGTTAAGCGGTTGTTTCACGTGCTGAGGCTGGTGCCCGCGAGGTGCCCGTGGCATCTGCACTGCCCGCAACATGAATCAGAGAAGAACGGCTGAGTGCATGTTAGCTGCTTGGCGTTGCGATGTCGTTTGTTCCGGGTCCCACTGAAGCGCACTCCAGATCAATCCACTTTGGTCCGGCTGGGCCACAGCAAGAAGGGTAAATGGTCGTGGGGTCGGCCTGCGGAATTTGGATAACTCGTACTTTTCAGCGCGTGCGGTGATGGTTGGCTATAGCTGTCCCAGGCTGACCGATCACTGCATTCGGCCGAGTCATGATTGGAGCGGGGTGTGATACATTCGTCATTATTGCTGACGATGCACTAACGTGCATATTGTGTACATATGCATGCGTCTTCGCTATTGCCTTCTGGAAGCCTCGAGGGCAGGATATTTGTCCCTATCAGCTTCGACGAATTAGAAGGGCGCGACCAGTGCGGCGCAAGGCGCCATGAAGCGAAATCTGCCTGAGATCCGGGCCATGCCCAGCATTCTGTTTCCTCAACAGGGCATCGATTTACGGTGCCTATCCCTTGCTGCAAGGCATCATGCGCACGCTGTCTTAAAGTCCCCCTGTATCTCAGCAAAGATCGACGTGCATGTTGCCAGGCATGCCAGTAGGTTCGAGGATGATTCGGGTAATTACTTATGATCCGTCCAGAAGGACAAATGTTACTGGAATGCTGTTGACTGGTGCGTGACAGTGCCGCACCTTCGTGTCAGATTGCAGAACCAGCGTTGAACAAATGTGTGTTCGGGATCTGAGTGGAGTAGGCAGCTGCGAAGCCAAAGCGCTCTGAAACTTCACCTCGCATGATGTGTCATCCACTGAAACTCCACTATGGGCCCAAGCTTCCGCTGAATGCGGCTCGTAATCTCCGCGCAGATGCCTGAGGAGGCGAGAGGCCATTGCTCTTTTGGATGGAAATGGGCCGCCGCATGGGGGGTTGCCGCGGCCTTCCTGGCGATTGCCACTCCGCAACTGTCCCAGATGGATCCAGCGTCTGCTCTTCCACAGGCTGTGAGGCGAAGCTGGGCACCCATCCACGTTGTGGAAGCTCACGGAGATGTTCTCCGCCACTGGCCCTGCACTGGCCCTGGACAGCCCAAGCGCTCTTGGTCCGAGCCCGTGCCCTGACACAAGTAGCAGAGCAGTGAAGCAGAAAGAGGCACCTGTGTTAGCGAAGGGGTTGACGACGATGACAACCGCGACGAGGACGACGACGACGACGGTCGCACCATCGGCAGTAGCGACGCCGATTACAACGAGTACTGTAGTATACTGTCGTGTAGTTGCGGTCATGCTGATAACTTTAACGTTGACGGGGTGGTAGTGCCCTGGTAGTGACACGTACTGTAGTAAGCAGATCAGTTGAGGGGAGCTCTGTACCAGGTAACTCTTGTCCACATCGACTCTCACAGTGACATGGCGCCTTTGGAGACGGACATATGGGCTGACTTCCTCGAGGAAACTGAGGACTGCACCCCGACACCAGCTCTTACTAATATTCTCAGTTTCCGGCTTCGGTTGCCTTCAGTGGTCCGACAAACATCCCAGGCGATGCGCATTGCGCCAAAGTGCATCGTAAGCAGTGGCAGAAGTCCGCAGTCGACAAGGCACGCCTCGTAGCGAAGATGGAGAAAACCGACAGGAAACCAGGCTATTCCCCAAATTGATGTGGGAAACGCAGTCTCGCGACGTGGCAGTCTCTGCAGGTTTTCGTGTCCGACTTCATTACGGCGGCTCTATGGATGGGCTTCTTGGACGAGGTGGTTTGGATCCGGTCAGATTTGCCGGGGGTGGGAAGGTACAATGGCCCACCACCTGGACGATACAAGGCCTGAGTCCTATCTTCATCAGCACAGCCCCGACTCTTGCGCCTCCAGCGAGGGTTGCGCCTGCACAGGCGCAGGTGGAGTGGAATCTTTGGACCGCCGAGGGAGAACCTCCATGGCATTTTACTTTTTGCACTGAGGTTGCTGGATGCTTTTTAGCAGTGCTATAGAGCAAAGCTTCTTCTGCTACTGCTACTTCAACAGCCGCCGTGCCAAGTCACGATGAAGAAGTGCTTCTGTGTTCGGTGAGGAAGTCGTCTTCGAGGAGCTCTGCCTGCGCCAGCTAGAAGTTCTGGAGGTCTTCCCACTGACCGAGTTGACAGGGATCACGGTGCATGAGGCACCCCTCGCAGTTTGATCCAGTCTGTACGGTTTAGCAATGTTGAGCAGGGTTCGACTGCACCGACTTGATTGGCCACAGGACTGCCACAACTCGCGCAAGTCTTCGGGCTAATTGGTTAGTGAAGTGCTTAGTGGAGCCATTCCAAAGGGATGTGGTTTAACATCGTTTATTCATCCTTCCAAAGGTGTCTGTTCCCGTCCCCCAACGTTGGAGTCTGTGGATGTTCGTGGAGCTCGTGCATGTTGTGTGATACAGAACTGGTGCAGAGGCCGTGTGAAACGAGAGCATATCAGTTGCTTCAGGGACACATGCGCGTCAGGAGAGAGGGTGTTTCGTGGCGAGTCTGCAGGCTCTGTCCCAGACTGTCATTTTGATAGTTCGTCCGGGTGGCACTTGGGGCACGGCCCCTTCAGACACTCCGTCAGAAAGGCGCGGGACTAGTTGTAAAGCAACTTGCTGTCAGGCTTTCGATTCCTGTACGGAGGTGGAGGAGGGAGCCGCCGAGAGGGAGTACCTTGGCCTTTTGTAGGGAAAGCTACGCAGTCTGTGTGTTGTGGAGACGTGCAGCATACAGTTGAGGTTGCTCCTCCACCGAAACTTTACCTTGACGGTCGGGACGCTCTTTCAGGCACGTGGCCGTCGAAGAAGGTTCCCGAGTTGGAAGCGTGGCTTCTGACAGCGACCCTAAGCTTTCGACCTTGCCCCGGCAGGTCCTCAAGAGGCTGCAGGAAGGTGTATGGACAGCAAGCTCGTTGCTGCATCAGGGCGACGAACTGCGATCCTGGATTCTGGACCTGGATTTGGACACCTTCTCTACCTACGACCCTGCTTTGAGATTGATGCAAGAAGCAAACTTTAGCCAAAGATTCGTGGAGAAGGCCGCGGAGCTCTTGAACACCAATCGGGCCTGCTCCCAGTCCCATGGGGAGACGCGCCTTTGCCTTGCCGAGATTCGGTTTGGTGTTTGGAGTTCTCTAGGTCAACAGCTTCCGAGGGTCCGAATATATTTATTATTACTATTGTTATTCTGATTATTTATATATTAACGTTGGCCTATATGGCACTATGGCATGTTACTGTACGAATGCGATCCTGGCTGCTACACTGAAAGAGTTCGTCGCACTTGGCGTCGCAAGGTTGATCGGATGTGGATGCCTCTCTTCACGTGTGACGGAGGTAGAGGCCCACTTCAGATGTGGTGATGTATGCATGCCAACTGAGAGCCTATACTTAGATAATGTTGCATCAAGCCGTGAAACCGATGCCACCGGATGTAGTGCCCAGGTCCGCCTAACAGATGTTTTACGTCGCCATCAACTGTCTTTTGCTACTGTGTCTCTGTGCGATTCTACGGAGGACTACCGTGCAGCCTTGCTTCAAAATCTGAGCCGGCTCCCTGCTACTTTGCGCCACTTGGCATCCGAGTGGGGGCTGCTTCGTTTGAACCTTCGGGCTTACTTGGCACTGACATGCATTCAGGCAACAAGCCGTTACCATCAGCATGCCGTGCCATGCTTCCGCGAAAGACCGTTTCAAGATTGAAGAGCACGCTCACACGTCACATTCCATTTCAGCTATTGGGCAGGGGCTGCTCCTGGCCATCAGCGGCGGCAGTTGCTTCTCGAAGGCTGAATGGACATCCAAATCGTCGAGCCGTGTCGTATGTGCCATACTCTGCAGCAGCATAGCAGAGCAGAGTGACCCGAGCTTTGGTCGACCTGCATGTGCATGCTGTCGCTCCACAGGACTCGCTGACTGTGAGGTTGACACTCGCTCCTGGGAGATGCTTGCGAACCTCTCAACCGAGGCGGGAACCTAGCTGAGTTGCTGCGGTGCTGCTTGCAAACACGACTGACTGAAGTACTTTGCGTCTCTACCATGCGCTCTGGCTGCAAATTGCTGCTGCCGCTCGCCTGCCTTCCTGCGGACAGCTTGGTGATCGTGCACGGACGTGACAAGTAACAAGCCTTCGGACTTGTCATCCTCCTGGGAGGAGGGCGAGCGTTGGCGCTGGGTATTTGAGACAGCTCTGCAGGCACGGCTGCGATCGTCTATCAGAGAGGTAGTGGATTTCCTAGCCGCGCGTGGTCGCGGTCGCCGCAAAGCAAGTGCAGCTACATGAGTCGCAGATGACATATGCAGCTCCTAGGAGGGATTCGACGATGACCTAGCCAAATCGATGCTGGAGGGTGCGATGGGTGTGGCTTCGGCGTGCATTACACACGCACAGATGTACTTGACTGTCATGGCTTCTTTGCCGAAGCATGCTTGCAAATGCAATCCTGACGGGACTGTCTCAGATTCGCTCAATGCCGGGTCATGACCAACAGAAGTCCGACTGCACGACAGCATGAAACATCTTTGCCTGCCTACCGTGGCTTAATACGGGTAAATAAGCGTGGTGCCTGAGTTTCGCCTCAGTTCCCAAGGGAACAACATTCTCGTTATCCATGCGTGCGCTTCTTCGTTTCTCATCCACCTTCAGATGCCTGACAAGTGCGTTGCAGCATTAACTGCCGGAGCCTCTTTGCTCCACTCTCGAACGGCATAGAACCCTTTTTAAGCCCAGAAGTGATCTGCTGGCATTCAGGTGCACCACGTCAGCCGCCGCTTAGTGGCAAGAATGCAAGGGCCGAGATCGATTTGCAAGACTCGGCGAAGCGAGGATCGGAAGCTGTCCGACACCTGGAAGCCTTCCACGGCATCCTGGGGTATTTCGAGCAAGTGCCACCTGAGGCAAGGTCGCGCCCAAGACCAAACATGACGGTGACAGTGTAATTCGATTCGATCCATGAATGGGGCTTGATGTTGCAGGCTTTGCTTCCAGGAATCGTAAGAGCAGAAATCCTGGTGGACAAGATGTTTGAGAAAGTTGCGCTGAGTAAATCCTGCCATTGTCTACTAAAGAGTGTAGCACAGGATCGTTGGTGCAATGGCCGGCAAACGAAGATAAGCGGCATGCGATGCCGGATCCTGCTACAAACGTGTTTTGAGAGTGCTACCAACTGTATTGCAGCTTCAGCTCTGTGTTCATTGCGGCAATAGGTCTTTCCGTGGCCCTCCTTTGCACTTGTGCATTCTCGGTTCACAGCCATTGGATGAACCATGATGAACCCACAGTCCATGGTACACAGAGACTTGGGCAGACAAAAGTTCCAATATTATTGCCTTGGGTACCAGGCAAGGCCGAAACAAGAGAAGATCATCTTGCTACATTGTCAGGTGGTGACTATTTCGCGGTCAAGGCTGCCCCGTTTCAACAGGCAAGATGCCTCAATCTGTGCAATTCCATGCCCTGTGCCTCGCGGTGTGCGAGCAGGTACCTCCCGGAGAGTCTCTGGCCGATGGTGGAGCACCAGGTGATGGCTGCGCTCAAGGGACCAAAAAAACGCGCTCGTGTAGATGCCGATGCCTGCATTCTGCTGTGCATCATGGCTCTACACTCAACACACGTGCCGGTGCTGCAGGCGAACAATGATTGGCAGCTGCTTTGTACAGAATCCTTCACCGAAAGAACCTGCTGACCTGTGCCAGGGCATAGAAACCAACCCAGTGTGCTCCAACCTATCGACGTCCCGAGAGTGCTTCGCTGCTCGCAGAGGAGCAGGTTTCTGTGTGGCTGTCGAATTCGTGAGCCCAGCTTGCTGTTAATTTGTCGGGGTTGTGGAAACAGCCCAACCTGCAATTGTCCGGTGAACTATCTTGAGCATGTGGTGTTACACGAACACTTCGTGACCATCCTGATCAACATGCCAGGATGCATCAGAAACTCGTAGCTCACCGCCAGACAGGACTTCTCATTCCATCCAAGGCAGGTAATTATGGAGTGTGTGTGTGTGTGCGCATACTCACATGTACTAGTGGCTGTGCTGGAGAACATGCGACCAAAGTCTCATCACGTCTTGTCCTCTGGGCTGCAGACAAAGACCAGAATACAGGCAGTCTTCGCCGCATTTCGCCGCGAGCTTGAGACGCGTGACCACTTCAAACAGTCATAGCACACCCTCCGGCCGTTCGGTATGCACCCGGTCCTCCCAGTGTATTCAACCCACAGGCCAACGGTCATCGCCTGTTGCCACTTTTCGCAGACACCAAAGCGAAAAGGCGTGCGATCCAGGCATCGGGGCAGGTTTCGAGACCGCAAATATCAACACTGGGAATGATAGCAAGGAGCCCGAGTCTGAGGATTGAATAGTTCATGCAAGCTACCAAAGGTCTCTGCATCTCCTTTGCATGCCCAGAGTAGGCCGACCGGAACAGCAAAGGCAATCGTAGCGACGACGAAAATGCATGATGCTCTGAGAAGGACACGGTAGTTAATTAGTATTTGATACTGCAGCAAAAAGAACCTGCAGGAAGATGACGCGAGCAGCTAGAAGGGTTCTTGAGCTTCAGCAACACTTGTGAGGACAGGAGTTGCACGAGCAGGCAGTAGGCAAGGAAGATGCATACGGCAATAGAGATATATCATATATCCTCACGGTAAGAATTGGTAGTTGCAGCCGAAATGTTGACACTTGAAGCCGACTTGAGAGATGCAGAAGCGCTTTTGGCAACCTGCAAAGCTGGCTCAAGAGTGAGCAGCCTGGCAATCACTGCGCGTTGCGCGCCGTGCTGCTATGGCTTCAGGCCGTTGGCGAGAGCTTCTTGCCGAGCTTACACGCGAGCTGGAGCAACAATCATTGAAGCGCCATGGCTGCTTTTAGACTTGTTACGGCGAACCCAAAAAAACTCATTGCTGGAAGTGTCCATGCTCTTTTGGCCCGCCGCTGCTGCTGCTGCTGCTCACCCATCTCCGGAATGCCAGCAGGCAGCTTGCAACCGCCTGCAGTAGTGCGGAGTAGACATTGACGCGTCGAAATTGAGGCTACGCGAACTTGAGAAGGAGAACCAACGACTGAACGACAGTCGCTTGAGCCCACATGCGGGGCACTCAGTCGATCGGAGGTGGACGCTGATACGGTGTGTGTTGGCAGCCAGCTGGGTATCAACCTGCAAGCATTCTTAGACAGAGTGTGTAGAGGTGTCCTTCCAATACCAGATCATCGCAGTTCCTCTTTGAGCTTCCGAGGTGGTCCAGGGGCTTGGCCGCACTGTCTCGTCGGTTGTGGCCACCTCCGGGGTGACCCAGAACTCACGGCTCGCAGGCCTGGACTTGTCGGGCAGTTCATCACTTTGTCTGGTTGTTTTCTGGGGAAAACTTGCCGTAAACGTGCGCTCTATCTATCTCTGCAGTAGTCAGTACGATGCAACTGTTTGTTGTGACCTATGCCCGGCCAGCCCAGACGGTCTCTTCTCTCCCGAAAACCATCAATGTAAGAGTTGAGGGTGTCTGAAAAAGAAGGGATCCGGTTGAAATGGTGGTCATAGCCGGGGAAGCGAGGGTCTTGCGTGGCTTCACTGGGTCCGTATTAGGACCGTCGTTGTTTTCAAATCTCCTACGAAGGCTTTCTGTCTGTGGTGTCAGCTCCGAAATTTACATTAAGCAGCATGCGCTTATTTAACGGTCCCAGGGATGATACGACATGCCACGACGGTGAAGGCTCTCCGGTGAGTGAGTTCCGGCTGGAATTCTACCATGCCACTTCCCCGGCTCGCAGAGTACTCGGCATTTGCAACAATGACTTCCTGGCTTGTGACCCTATGCAGGCCAGAAAGATCCGAGTCAGAAGACTGTGACGAGCGTCGTTTCGACGACTCCCAAAGTGGAGGATCTCTTCAGCAAGGCAGCGGCTTGAATTCTACAGCCGGCGCTGTCTTGCGTAGGATGCCCGTCACAGCACCCAAAGTTATGAAGCCTCACAATACTCAAGTTAGGGTAGAAAGGGTGGTCATAAGATCCTACATCCCGCCGCTGACAGGACCGGAAGGAGAAGCCTCAAGTGGACGCCCAGAGCATTCACAAGTCTCCTTTCTCGGAGGACTCGCTTGCTTCCGACTGGAGGAGTGAGAACGGCACCGTGGTCCATGGAGTCCACGACAAACCATGGTACATCATCGATCCTGAGAGCTCGTGGTATGCTTCTGGTTGGCAGTCGATAGTAGGCGTCGCTTTGGCTTTCGTTGCCTTCCTGACACCGCTTCAAATCGGCCTCTTCGACATCAGATTCGATTCCATGCTGATCATCAGCATGGCTGTTGACCTCATCTTCCTTGTGGATCTAATCCTGCAGTTTTTCGTCATGATCTCGGTGTCCACCTTCCACGGTCTGAAGCGGGAGGTCCGCTTGAGCCGGGTCGGCATGAAGTACTTGAAGACCTGGTTCTTCATAGATGCCCTGGCCGTCGTTCCCTGGGATTTGATAGGCGCCCGAATCTGATAAAAATCTGCGACGGTGGGACAATTGGGTTTTTTCACACCGCCGGAAATTGCTGCTGCTGCTGCTGCTGCTGCTGCTGCTGCTGCTGCTGCTGCTGCTGCTGCTGTTGCTGTTGCTGTTGCTGTTGCTGTTGATGCTGTTGTTATTGTTGTCATTGTTCGTGTTCTTGTTAGTGTTATTGTTATGTTAATTGTTGTTGTTCTTGTTGCTGTTGCTGTTGCTGTTGCTGGTGCTGGTGCTGGTGCTGGTGCTGGTGCTGTTGGTGCTGTTGGTGCTGTAGGTGCTGTAGGTGTTGTTGGTGTTGTTGGTGTTGTTGGTGTTGTTGGTGTTGGTGTTGGTGTTGTTGGTGTGTTGGTGTGGTGTTGTGTTTGTGCGTTTGTTTGTTTGTTTGTTCGTTTGTTGGCGGTGGCGGTGGCGGTGGCGGTGGTCGCTGGTTGCTGATATTGCTGTTGTTTGTTGATGTTGTCTGCTGTGTTGCTGTTGTTTGCTGCTGCTGGTTTTGGTGATCTTGTTGTTGGCTGTGGTCGTTGGCTTTTGGGGATCGTTTGTTACTTGTTGTGTAGTTTCGCTTGTCTGTTGTTTGTTCTGTGTTTTTTGGTGTTTGCTGTTTGTTGGTTGTTGCCGTTTGTTTGGTTGGTCGGTCGGTTGGTTTGTTGGTGTTCTTGTTGTCTTTGTTGCTGCTGCTGTCGTCGTTGTCGTCGTGCTGGTTGTGATGGTGGTTGTTATTGCTGTTGTAACTTGTTGGGGTGCCGGCTACTTACGAGATCACGACCACTGTTGAATTACTAGACTTACTAGTACCAGACAGTAGTCAATAGCGCTAGACCCTGGCGTGCCGGAATGACCTCACAGGTGTTCTTCACAGCGACACCGAGACTCTGGCTGGCGCGCGCGTGATTCGTGTTTTGTGGATGCTGAAGATGCTGCGATTGATGAAGCCGTCGAGGTGCCAGCTTGGGTATCAAGTTGTGAAGTAAATCTCCGAGTTAGTCAACTCCTGTCTGCTTACAATCCCCAACATGTGTTGTGTATTGTTCGCATGGCACACAGACGATATCTGAATGCTGCAGAAGCATTTGTTTCGGTCTTGGCAGCTTGTCGGCAGTTGCATTGTGTCTTTGTGGTCGTGGCCTGCGTGTCGAATCGCTGCATCTCTGGTTGCCCAATGGGCCGGGGAGGTAATTCGAGGTCATTACTGTGCTTATAGGCGAAGGGTTAGCAACGACAAGTCAGTTGCAGCGTCGGGCAGCCCTTCTGCAATGACGGGGCACGCATGAGGAGCTGACCTAACTACATGTACAGTCCCAACTGCTGTATTTACACATAGGAAGCATGGGCTCGACACTCACGAGGAAGCAGGTTTTCCAGAGAAGATCTGGCATTTTGTTTGCTCGTGCAACCATACATTGCCATACATTCACAGTTGACACAGGCATTCGCCACGCCTTTTGACATATTGCTGTATGTTGCACTTCCTTGTGCTGCTTCTTGTCAGGATTATTCACAAGATCGAAATCCCGTACTCCATTCCTTACCAACAGCAGCTTGCTTTGTTCCGCTTCCTGGGCTTCTTGGTGATCGTGTGCCACTGGCTAGCATGCGTGTGGGCTATGACGTTGAAAGTCGTGGACAAGGCCGCTGCAGAGCTTCCCCACATGCAGATAGCGGCTGTTTCGGATAATGCAGTAACCCTGCGCTGATCCAGGCATTTCCGCGCTGGATCGATGACATTTACGCAGTTGATTCCAGCTTTGGACGCTTGCCTTACTGAGAAGTCATGAATCCTTCGGTGTGTGTTGATTCCGAGCTGTTGCGAAAGCGATAATTCCGCGTTTTGTACTGCGTGGTGAGTCCAAGACATGTTCAAAGCTGTGCATGCTGGCAAGGTTTCTTCGAAGAAGACCGAGCCGTGCGGACGTATATCGCCGCATTCTATTTCTGCAGCGCCTTGGATGGTATAGTATATCAGCTGACAAGGCCCCATCGCGTTGAATCATGCACAGACTCTTCTGCAAAAGGCTGGGCTGGGCATTAACTTAGGGCTACTTAGAAATAAGTTTTAATCTTTGGCTACTATAAACCCTAAGAAGCAGCTAAAATTACATTTTTTGCTAGGGGTCTAAGTTCAGTATAGTTAATTAGTCGGACTGTGATAGAAATCTGCCCAACTGACTCCTACTGTAGGAACTCGTGACAAGACAGTAGCAGCTCGATGTCAAAAATGTCTCCAGCTCTCCCTCGCCAATCTGCCAGTTCTACGCCGGCCAGCCCTGTACAGTAGCATGCTGCCTTCATCGGGTCGATAACCTCGCTTGACCGGAGTTGAGAGGGACAACAAGTAATGCTTCAATGCCAGGCTACACGATGACGTCCGTGGGGTACGGCGATATTGGTCCACAGAACGTGCTGGAGCGCATCGTGTGCACTGTGATGGTCATGTGCCTGCTCTCAACCGTTGTACTTCCGGGGTCGGGGTTTGGCATACCTTCGTTCCCGGTATGATGTGCTGCCTGTGTTCGCATAGATTAGACCTAGTAGCGTAGTCTGAGCGTATCAGTCGGCTGAAAGACCATTCTTCTGCTTCTGAGGCTTTCAGGTCTGTTTTGGGCCTACGTCATTGGCCAAGTCTGTACAATCGTGGCAGACATTAGCGCCGAAAGCCAGGAGTTCCGCCACAGAGACTCGCCCTGCGCCAGGTGTATTTCAGGGGTGATCTAAGTCCATCTTGTTTGTGAGTCCCAAGGTGACGGTACCCGCCAACTAAACTATGGAAACTAGAGCAAACATGAGCAAACTAAATTCTATACTTATGACTGGACATCTCCCTCGTAGCATTTGGGTGTCAGGAATGCACCACCTGAACATGATGATGGAAGAAGAGCACTTGCCACATCAGTTGAAATCGCGAGTCCGGGAGTTCTTCATGCATAACCGGGATCAGGCGAGACATTTGACTCAGCAGAGTTTGCTGGATGCCATGAGCCCACAGCTGAAAGCAGAAGTTGCCACAGTCGTGAACTTCCCATGGCTGGAGCGTGTGATCTTCTTCAATCGCTTTGTTCGGGAGACGGAGGAACTGCAAGCCCAAGGGATCTCTGTTGCGCCCTATCGCGCATGTATTGCGGACATTGTGCGCGAACTGAAGAGTGTGGCCTATGCACAAGGGGAATTTGTTAGCAATCTCCGCGTGCTGAGCATCTTGTCAAAGGGCCTCGTGCTTCGGTCGCACAGGCTCGAGCATAAAGGCAGCGTGTGGGGCGAAGACTTTGTGCTCTCTGACAAAGCTCTCGTGCGCCGGGTGGACTTCTATGCCTTGACTTACATAGAAGTCCTGTGCCTTTCACGCGACGACTTCATGGCCATCATTGCGAAACACAGTCACACATGCCCCCGACTTGGGCAGATAGTCCGTCGCTACTGCGTGCGCGTTGCTGTTCGTCGCGGAATTGTAGCAGAAGCCAAAAGGCGTGTACAGAGCATGGGCAAGCCTCTGCCTTTTAGCACCTCTGGCTTGTCGCTATGAGTTTAAGTGCCGCCTCGAGCACCTCTCTAGTGCAAAGTGCTGGCAGACTTGTCCTGGGGAAAAGCATGGCCCTGGGGCATACTTCCAAAGCCAGCAGCCTCACAAAGACTCCCTGTGGAGTCTGTTCGTCACAGGTAGGCTTCAGCTTCATCAGGCGCCCTGAACCCGTGGCCAGAAAAGATGTTCAATAATAATAGTACTACTAGTAATACTATCAATGATAATACTAGTACAAATTCTATCAATAATAATACTAATTATAATACTATAATACTAGTTATACCAACAATACGAACAATGCTAACAATAACAATAATAATAAAAGAAAGGGATGTTCAAGAAGGGCTTGCAGGGAGTTGTGTCGACTTGGCCTCGCAAACGCGGGCTAAAAAAGCCGGAGAGCCGGTCCCCGTGACCTTACGCTTTGAGGATCATGGGACTTAGTAAGCAGGGTTTAGGATTACTTAAAGGAGCATGGGACTTAGTAAGTAGGGTTTAGTAAGTAGGGTTATAACTCAGGTAACTATACTTATAACCCCAATTAGGGGACTTCTAACCATGATCCTCCAGATACGCTCTGAGTGATGAAGAAAAGTGTGCGGAAAGAGCAGCGGCCTTCGTCAGCATGATCTGATCTGCGCCGTGATCAGTGTCATCCTGGTCATCGCTAGCATTACTCGTGCCTTCCACCACCATTGCACTAGTAACTGGTATTCAGCTTTTGGATCTTTTTGCTTGGCTTGGCTGTTCCATGACGCGGTAAATGTTGGGCTCGACCAGCACGGGGCACGTGCAGTGCCAGCGAAGGCACCCACCGCGACCACATAGACATTCAAACATTCAAACAACCCTGAATTCATGCACGTACACTCTTGATTCCACGGACGAGTTGTTGTAGCTATATAGACGTTAACAAGACTAGCGTAGCACGATGCCCCCTGAGCGAACTTGGGCCGGATCAAAGCGCCCCCACAAAGGCGGAGGCTCTGAGAAAAGACTGCCTCAGTCCAATGCAAGCCCCAAGCTAATTCTGTGATCAGGCTGCGCATTCATGCATCCAGTTTTGCACAGTTGAAACTGCGCCGCTACTGCTTGTGTAGTACGCCAGAGTCGTTCATGTGCTCGTTTATTCATCTGGAGGCAAGAGCGCGCCATGCACTCGGAAGCGTCGGAAAACAGAAAGCCCTGATAAGAGCGGCGAAGAGGCGTGCGAAGTGGGCCGGCAGCTGATTGAAACCACTTCATGACAGAGGGCCGTGCAAAGGGCCGTGCTACTGTAGGCACTCTGCCTCAACGCATGCCTGACGCTTGCACTTTCCTGGGCAGGTGCCTCCGGAAGTGAAGGCCATGCTGAAAGCCGTTCATCAGTTCGGACTCGTAGGCGGCGAGGACTACGACTCCAAGGTGACTTGGATATGGAAAGCCGAATTATCCCAAAATTTGCCGCTGATCGACTGACAGTCAAAAAATAGGACCCAAGTTACACCGTTCAGGAGGAGCGTCTACAACAGCTCTTGGATCGCTTGCCAGCGGATTCCGGCTCGGAACCCGAATGGGGATATGCCGCAGTAAGCATGGCAGCTTTCATTGATCTCGGTGTCGCCAGAGATGACAAGGTCCGGCGATCGTCTTTGCAAACACAGCTTCCCAAGCGCAGGCGCAGACAGTCGGATCTGAGATCTATACGGCACTGCACATCTCGCGGATTTTTGGACTTTGCAATGTTTGGCCACGGTATCAGCTGATCCAGTTCCGTGCTCACACCAAAGTATGTCATTGTCGAGGCTGCATCCGTCGTTGATCGGAGTCGACGGCAGGCGCCAGAGAACATTTGTGCATGATACTGAGTCCTAACACATGCACCCTAACACTATGCCCCGTGCAGATCTCTACAGACCCACAAGCCTGGCTACTTTGACTAGTGGTGATGCCGACAACCAGCTGTGTACAGAGGCCTTGGCGGCTGCAGCCCGCAGCCGCGCAGGGTGCCGAAAGGCGAGAGCAATTTTGCGCGAAAGCAGGGCTGTGGGCTGTGCGATTCGGACAGTGGTACGGTTTATGGTGATGGAATCCCATGGCGGATGTACTGCCGCTCTGGTTTTGCTTGGCCAAAGGGGCTTGCCTACTCTAGGTTCTGGCATACATTCACTGCTGCTGCCGGCATGTTAGCTGTTAGCTGTTCTTATGTATGAGGCTTCGCAGCAACACAGGACACAAGACACTTACAGCTCCCGGGAAGCCGCCGGCCCCCAATCACAGGGCCTAGGGATGTAACATGACCCCCACACATGCATGTTGGAGCCAGTAAGTTAGTAAGTGGACAGCGTCGATCCGTAAGCAAGCCCTGCACTTTTGAAGCATCCGCTTTGTGAGGCTATGGAAGCCGCAGTGTCCACAGACACGGCAGGAGGCATTGTGGTTCATGAAGCAAGGATGCTGCCTTGACAAGTTTGAGCACCAGAAAGCCTGCTAGTACGGCCACAGCACATGCCAAGCTTGCACAGACGCCCCGCTGAGCGAGAAACTTGACCCAGAGATGAGCAGGCAAGGAGAGGGGTTTGTTTGAACGATCGATCCATGCTCTTTCTTCACTGGCCTCGACTCGACAAGCTCTACTACGCCAGGATGGATCATGTTTGCGCAGAATAGGGCTTTGTATGCTGCGAGCACGAAAGACTGTTTGCCACAGGGATTCGACATGGTCACTTTCGATCGCATGTTCGTTAAGACTCCGGAGCTCCGCGCGAGACCAACTTGACAGTTGGATGCACGACTGGGCCTGCGGGCGCTGTACCCTGATCAACGGTTGGCTCTCCGAAGAGCCGCCCTGTCTCAATTGGCGTTTAGGGTTTAGGGTTTAGGGTTTACAAAGACAAAGAAAACTGCTTTTCGGCTTGGTGGAGATTGCCCGAGATGCGTGCAACTGAGGTGCGCTGCCTGTGGGGCCAGGACCGCTAGAGCATTGCCTCGCTTTCAAGGGTAGCAGCTGCTAGCACCCTACAACGAAAGCAATTGTTTCAAGCTTGCTCAAGACATACCAAGCAAAAAACAGCACAGTTGCTCGAGTGATTCGCGGCTGTGGATTACCGCTGTCCATCCATGAATATATGTGTATAGTCTGTATAGTATGTGTATATAATTGCAGAAATTATGTACATGTATACAATGTCCGGGTACGGTTCAGATTTGTAACAGGCCCTGGGCTAGAGCCTTTGAGAACAAGTAGCACACCGCTCGAAAGGGCTTGAAACTTGTTCTGGCGGAGATCTCCAAACAGTCAAAGACCATCTACCAGAAGCATGCCACTAGTACCCAATGTCACATGCGAACGGGCATCTGAGCAAAAGGAGCCAACCGGTGAAAAGGGATCCGAGAGAGCTTTAGAAGAATGCGCAAGCCGCGCAATGAAGGCCAGAGAATCCGAGAAAAGAGGCATGCCGCGCGAAACGGAGTAGAGTGGTTGAGAAAGAGGAGCAAGCGGCTCGAAAGGGACTCGAGCCTTTGAGGAAAGGAGCGAACCGCTCCAAAGAAAACCGGTGCGTTTGAGAAAAGGAGCACACCGCTCAGGAGGGACGAGAGCATGTGAGAAAAGCAGCAAGCGGTGCGAAAAGGATTGGAGCAAGTCAACATAAAGCCGCCAGACAAGGACTAGCGCTTTTGAGAACAAGGAGCAAGCTGCTCGAGAGGGCTTAAACCATTTGAGAACAAGGACACACACACAGCCCGAAAGGGACTATAGAGAACAGTTGAGATAAGCAGCCGACCGCACCAAGGGAATCGGACCAGCAAACTCAACAAATCGATCGAGCAAGCCCGGAGCGAGTGAAAAAATGTGTAAACCGTTGTGACAACAGAGGATGAATTAATATGCTGGAATCGAGTAGAGCGATTGTTTGAAGAAGCAAAGCGGTCGAACGGGACAAGAGTGTTTGACAACAAGAAGCAGACACTTTCAAACCGGTCGAAAGGTACCAGAGCATGTGACAAAAAGAGCAACCCTCGAAAGGGAGCTGGATCGCGACTAGAGCGAGGGATTAGAGCAACGGAACATAAGGGAGCAAACCGCTCGACAGAAAAACAGAAGCAAACCACTCGGAAAGGAGTAGTGCATGTGAGAAAGGGAGAACGAGATTCGAAAGAGACTGGTGGAGAGTATTGAAAACATGGGCAAACCACCACAGGAGTGTCAGGGCACTTGGGCAAAATGCGCAAGCCGCTCGAAAGAGCTTGTGCTTACGACAGCCTTGTGTGTCAACCTTGTTCTCAGAGCAAGAACGGCAAATGTTTGTCACAAAGCTCCTACGAGAAAGCGGGGAGTCTCCCGTGACATAGGTGGTTGTGTAGCCTTATAGCAGTTGGAAGTGAGCCTGCCGTGCAGGAGAGGAGCTTTCCCCAAAGTTGCTGCATCGCATCTGCACATATGAGCTTCAACGTTCGTGTCCAACTTCAATGCCTTCCGATAATCTGCTGATGTGTCGGCTGCCCTCGGCGGCACCCATCTCAGGTTGTCGCGACCGACGACAAGGCCGCACCTTAATCGGTGCATAGCCATGTGTCGTGAAACCGATTCGGTACTCGTAGAATGAGCAGAAGCTTCGAGAGCAATCCAGCGGCACGAGTCGACTGTGATGCTAACGTGCTGCAGGCAAACGCTCGTTGGGGCCTTGATTGAGTCAGGTGGCAGCAGGCAGTCCAATCCAATTGTTACTGTTACTGCTAGAAACTCTTAGCCTGGCCGTAATACCAACAAACCCAGCGTGTGTCCTTTCGCTGTTGCAGATTGCTTTGTTCCACGCCTTGCTCAGGAACATTGCCGTGGACACCAGGAAGTTGCCAGCAACCTGCCTGGGTCCAGAAAGGGTAGGTTTCGCATAGCGCTGATACGTTGCCGGAAAGTAGATCATTGCACTGTATTAATTGACTGGAGACGAAAGATCCTGGTGATGGCTATGGGGGTTTGGGGTACGGGCACATGTAATATGTAATTTACCCATCGGCGGACCACTTCGTCATGTCTTCTTGTGGCGTGCTTTCGGATTCGACAGAAAACCGAGTCTCGGAGTTTCATGCGGAGAAGACTCCATCCAAGGATCCTAATTAATTACGACGTCGCGCGCAGCGCGACCGACTATTTGCGCCGCTTGGGAGCTTTGGAGCCGCAAGAAGCGAATCTTGGCCACCTGAACAGGCCTGCCCTTTCTGTGTCTTGCGTAAAGACCTACAATGACATGATCATTCCGGTATATTCCGGTGTGTTCATGTGGTCTCAGGGTGGTGCAAAGATTACGGAAATCCGTTCTGTCTCCGTTCGGGGAAAATTCCAAGAGGGTCGCCTGCCATGATGCCAGCCGAGGAACAATCCGCGGTTTCCACGTGCCTGCCTGAGCTGTACAATGTACATGTTGCACTCCGAGAAACGTGATGACATGTGAGTTTGCCTTGGCCATGCCCAGATGTCGTTTACACTTTCGTGGAAGACGAGCAGCTACACGGGCGTGCAGCCCAGGCGCGATTTCGGTGAAAGAGTAGGCAGACGTTTCGTGGTTTTGTTTTTGTCCATGATGCGGGAGGGGATGCCCTGCAGGAGATCGTGGCACTGCTGAAAACAGCGCGAGGGCAGCTCGGTGGATAATGCTTCAAACTGCCCGAAATGGGTCAAGTTGAAGGATTCCGGAAGGTACCTGTTAATTATTCCTGTTTGTATCGCTTCTCTCGGCCGATCTATTGGAGATTATATTGAAGAGCGGAGTTACAGGTATGCCGAGCCCTCGAAGAACCTTGCCTGCAACATCCTGTCGACATGCGTCGCCTCTTGAGCATCACGTATGCGACCAACTTGAGGAAGGCTGAGATAGACTCGGCGCTCGGGTTGATTGACTACAGTGAAGTGCGGTGCTGAGCAAACTTTGGGTTTTGTCGGCGCGTAGATAGCACCTATTCCGGTAACTCAGGAGGAGGAGGACTGGGAGGAGCGGATTCGAAGTCTCCTTTGAATGACAAGTGTGCTTTCGTGCTTCTAGGTTGTGATTTCGCATACGTGTAGTGATAATTAGTGAGCCATGGTGAGTGTACAGATATTTGGATGTTTGCACAGACATGGTTGACTGCGCATTTGTTAAAGGGTGTGGCATGTCGAGAATGAGAGGAGGAAGACGACGAAGACTGGGATGACGAGGATTGGGAGGCCCACGTCGTAGTTCGAGGGCAAGCTGCAGGCAGATCTGCTGAGTCCAGATGCTCAACCACCCGCCACTGGCGAAAGGAATGCGATTGTGCACACTGTCGCGGAAGCATCGTGGGAAGCACGTGCTGACCCCACCGTGGCGGGAGATGTGAGGAGATAAGTTTCCGATGATGCACGTATTGATGCACATATGGGAGTTTCCAAAAATTAGGGGTACCTTGTTTTGGGCTCCTTATAATAGGGATCCTATTAATTAGGGTACTATATTAGGGGTCCCCTATTTTCGGAAACCCCCATATTGGCGCACGCTCAGGTCCTACCATCCCCTTCTACCAGTGCCAGGTATCGAGCACCAGGCGATGTCTGGCATCGAGGCAGCTTCCCAAGCTTCCTTCCTTAAGAACCCAAAACCTACTTTTTTGTAGGGTCATGGGACTTAGTAAGTAAGGTTATAAGTCCCCTTAATTGGGGTTATAAGTATAGTTACCCTAATTATAACCCTATACTTACTAAGTCCCATGATCCTTTAAGTAGCACATCCGGACACCGGCTCAAACCAGACGTGGCCAGAGCACGTGGAAAGGTGGTCCGACTGCCGCTCAAGGCCCTGGAAGACTTTGACAAGGCAGCGAGCTGCGTGACGATCCTTGAGTTGCCGTGCCTACTTGGAGGATCATGGGACTTAGTAAGTAGGGTTATAATTAGGGTAACTATACTTATAATCCCAGTTAGGGGACTTATAACCTTACTTACTAAGTCCCATGCTCCTCCAAGTACACCGCTCAAAAAGTGTGGAGATGTCTGCAGGCTGTGCCCTTCATTGCTCCAAGGGACCGGGCCTCGGATGCTTGTCTCTCTCTCGAAAGCTGGTGAAGTCTTACTCGAGGTGACCGGCCACTCCTGTACATTAATTTGTGAGGGCCTCAGGCGGTACACATGGACCTTAAGTATCTTAAGTCATCTTGCAGGAAGAGGCCCCTTCTAGGGAGGGGACAAGGAAGGATGGAATACATAAAAAGCTCAGCGCATTTCAGTCAGCAGCGCGCGGGGGGTGACTCTGCCAGAGGCCTGCACTGCCTCAACGTCCACACTCCCTGGGACGGATGGGAGCAATTCTTTGCGCCATCGCAGCTGACAGGCGTGAATCTCGAAAAGGGCTCGAATTTGGACGACGGCTACACTGAGCAAAGCCAACGCATGACAGTGTGAACCATGTCCACCAGTCGGAGCATTTCGTTCAGGCACCATGCGCGTGGTGCTGGTGTTGGCTGACGGCGTGTCGTGGCACGACTACCCAGACTGCGCTCTTCTCGGGGGAGGTGCCAAATATTTGCAGTCCTAATACGTGCGTTGGTTCTACTACCTGGACTCCACGTGCTGTTTAGGTAGGATAGAGTGGTCCTGGGAAGACACGTTAGGGCAAAGTAGTCGTCGGGGTGGCACTCAAACCGGCCCCTGAGCTTTTATCCCTTTCACAGGGGGTTCTGCTTGGATTGATATCCTCGACATGGACTCCATGGTCACCTCCTCAGCTCAGTTGCAAACAACCGCAACCAACCTCTACGACAAAGCCCAACGAAAGCTTGCAAGGACCGTTCTGACATGCTGCTGGAAAGGTTGGTTGACCATGAGGCAACGAATCGTTTCGAGACGAAGTCCAGTTGCTCCCATTCCCCTGCAGCAGTCCCTGAAGCAACTTCTGACAGTTTCTGACCAACTCTCCATGCCGTGGCCACATTGGCGTGGCGACTCGCATTGATTGCAGCTGTTTCTGTCAGCATCCAAACCGGCACACAGCGCCCACCGCAGCGTTTTTGCCTCAAGTGTCGCGGGCAGCTGCACTGGAGCGCAGATGTCTGGGTTTGCCAAATCCCTTCAAGCCTCCGTACTCGCTCCTACAAAGGCGGGGATCACCACGATGCCTGAGTACAAATGCAGCGACGTCCTGCACTGCCCCTGGTCGTCAGGTCTGACAGCAGGCGACGAGTCTGGAATGACACGAGCCAAGTGGTCCAAGGCTCAGAGATCCACACAGTCGCAGCTGGGATGGCTACACTAGGCGACTCACTAGGCGCATCTAGGCGCTGTGCTTCCAAAGGGAATGCTACAGTCAAAGGTGCCGTACCTGTTGCTATCGCCATCCTTCGGCTCAAGTGCAAGAGGTTGTTTCGCGTCCCTGCAGTTGTGCAAACGCCTCATACCTCTCTGCAACTGGCCCTTTCTGGGCATCCAGGACAGTCTTCATGGGGCTGCGCTTGTGCTGTAGTCATTGATCCGGCCTTTTGATGGGTGACAGGGTTGGTACGAGAAGTACGCTGAGTTGTTGCAAGCATCCGCCACAGGACAATGCAGCTCATCCGCCTTCTTCCGCTTCTGGTCCCCTTAGTCCAGGCAGCAACTCTTGCTTCTCAGCCCCGTGCCGGCACCTACGCTTGAAGATGCCTGAAGCAACCCGCACAGATGAAGTGTATTGCGAAGTGCTGAAAATCGAGGATGAAGCTCATCGAGGAGAAGATGACTAGGCGAATGTGGCTTGGCGGTGCAATGTTTTGTCCATGTCATGTCGCCTTAACATGAAGCCTATAAGAACTCACGCCAAGGAAGCTCACGACTCCAGAGTCCGCAACCTTGAAGAACATCGAGTCTTCCATCTTGGGTATGGCACAGACGAGAATCTCCAAGGAGGATCATAAGGCAGAGGCCTCCAATCTGACCCCGTGCTCAAGAGTTACAGAAGTGTTACAGATCATACCTATAGTCTCCATTGTAGTTCCTTTTTTTGGTTTAACCAATTATATATTAAGGATTTTTATAAGGTATCCTCAAAAAGGAACTACAATGGAGACTATAGGTAGCGTGAATGTTGCAACATGCTGTAGAAGCAGCAATGCATTTAGCTGAGGACGGTATTCTTGAACGAGATTTCCGACTTGCTCGAGAAGACCATGCGACTCAGCTCATCTGCAGCTCCGCAAGAGCTTTGGAAAGGAGTAGCAGGCAATTCCGACCGCTATTTTGGCAGGAACTCCGCATAAATCCGGACCCGTGGAAAAAGCACAGACGCGCCTTTAACATCTTGAAACAGGATGTGAATCGCAGCTTACAGCTGCAAGCCTTGTGTTGGCCCCTCCATTACCACAGGCACGCAAGCATGCAGACAGTCTAAAATGGTCAGCAGGGTTTCCTTCGAGCTTGGTTTGCAAGCATCCTCTCCCTGAATCACTGAAGCGCTGTGCCAAAATGCCACCCAAGGAAAGCAAACCTCTTGCTCCGCAAGAATCAAACTCAGGAAGACTTGGACGAGGCTCGTAGATCTTTCAGCGAGACACATTCCTCTTATCTAAATGAGCCTGGATGTGATGTGCCGAGCATCGGCCAGGCGTGGGCAAACCTCAGCACCTGCCTTCACCCGAACGATACAGTGCCCCGGCGGCACATTTCTCTGCACGACAGTGTCGCAGAACTGTTGAGCCAAAGATAATTGGAGCTTGAGACTGTCAAGTCGTCAGAGCAGTGGGTCATGGCTGAAAGCGCTTTGAGACAACTATCAAGCGGCAGTCGAGTCGACTGCTCCTGTCGTCAATCATGCGGCGAAAGAGGGAATCTGAAGAGCAGATTCCTGACCTCCCACTGCCGCAGATTTTTTCAAACCCACGAAAGCAAGACCAAGACCTCGCCTATGTCGCAGGACTACGACGCAGGTTTGAAGACGTTGTCGACACAGCACTCGCACTGCCGACTAGAGGAGGAGTGCTTCTTATCCGTGTTCATATGCAGTGCGAGACAGCAAATTCCTTGTAGTTCTTTGCGGAGAGAAGGAAAGAGAACGGCTGAGTTTGTGATAGGATTCCATCTGGGCGGACTATGACACCGCTTGCATTGTGGCACGACAGCTCTGGGAGAATGAGAAGAAGGCCATTTGCGATGCCTATGAGGCGGCACGGGCACTTGGCCTGAATGAGTTTTCCCGCATGCTTGCCCGGATTTCTCATCGGTTAATAGTCTTGTCGAGTATTTTGAAGATACGGTGTTGTCTCCATACCCGATGTGCATGCTAGGGCCAAGGCGGCACAAGGGTTTAGGAAAAACGCGCCTTTCGTCTCAGGTATTCCCCAATCCAACCAAGACCTGTGAGATGTCGGAGGGCACTGCAACCCCGACCATCGGCAACTACCTGTTGGAAATGGAGAAGCCGCCTGGCTGGTTTTGCAAGGGCATCGTGGTTTTGAGACAACCGTTTTCCCTGCAACGAGATGTGGATATAGCAGGTGGTTCTGCATGAGCCACATCTAAGAATCTATGTCCTTCCAGGTGCGAGTTGTGCGGTCGAAGTGCTGCCTTCGCTCAGGTTCTATACAGACACATACAACGACCTATTGGACAAGAAATTGAAGTGCGACAATGCCACTGCCACACCCTTCAAGAACGAGGACCTATGCCATGAGAAGATCTGCAGCTACTATGACAAGAAGATCGCCTGTGACACGAAACAGGCCAGGTCTTACTAGCTCCCACGTAGGATAGTGTGGTAAGGATATGTGGTAATATGTAAATGCAGATGTGTGTATATATATATATACATATATATATATATATATATGTGTGTGTGTGTGTATGTGTGTATACACAACTCTCTGGTCATGCCATAAGACTTGCTCACTTCCGATGGTTGTCTACGTAAAGTCTCGAAGCTCTGATCTTCTGATGCAGGCATCGTTTGAGGACAAGGCCTGCGGCCTGCACAAGAATTACACCTGTCTCAAGTATACGGAATGCTACGACGAGAAGGCGCCCTCATCCAAATTGCTAAAAATCAAGACGAGAACATCCATAGAGCAGACAGGATGCCCAATCGCTGAGCTGAGCTTTGGCGTTCCACGCAGGTGCAGCTCTACGGGTCTGTAGTTGCTCTGGCGGAGGAGGGCGAAGCCACCTCCAAGGCAGTCCGAAAGGTGCGCCAAGGGTATCGCTGCCATAGACAACCGCTGCAGGTCGAGTGGAGGGCCGTCCTTCGGATCGAGTGCCTGATATCGGCACTCCTGCTAGAGGCAGGTGGCGCTCTGCACGCTACTGCAGGGACTCTGCTGTCCCGAGTGCATCAGATGTGGTTGTATGAATCATGTGTTCTTTCCGATGGAAGCTGGCCCGTCACCGGATACCGCTGGACATCGACTGTTATGTCGCATCTTGCTCGTATATTAACAGGCCACCAGCCCGGAGATGTCACGGCGCGACACGAACAAAGACTGCCACGTTTCAAGAACGGAAGAATTTGCCAGAGGGCCTCATCTCGGAAGTTATACCCGTTGCACCAAACCACAGGACTTGAATCAGTAGCAATATGAAGAACCACGGCGACAGCAAATGCGACGACCACGACGGTCCGAGCCCGAATGGTACTTGCGCAAGACCCCAAGCCGCCAGCTGCAGATTTTTCAGTCGAGCTTCTGTTGAAAGTCTGTCGTCTGCAAGTCGTCGTCCTCAGTATTCACAGTTTGTTCTCATTCACATGGGTGATCATGCGTGCGTGTGTGTGGCTGTGAATTCCAAGTGTGTTTGTGTGTGTGTGTGTGTGTCGGTCTGTCTAGATGTGGACTATACAGAGCACGCTGACACAGGATGCATGCATGCCTACACGGCGTACACATGTACAAGTGTGCGTCTCTGCGCGCGCCCGATTCATTATGAGTTGCAGCCTGGCCTCATCTGCGAATCCGAACGTGGCTTTCCAGGACGGCGAGCTGGCGCCTGCCCTCGATGCATGTAAGGCGAGCGGATAGTCGAATCAGTAGCCTGGTCAACGATCGCTTGTGTGTTTTGACTCTCCACAGGCAAAGACGTACAGCACACTGCCTGTTGCTTCTTGAATGCACTTAGAGACCTCACGAGCGAATTGGAGTTGCGAGAAGGGCCCTCGCCGTTGCGTAAGCGGCCCAGGAATTGGCCTACCACGGGGCGGCACCAGCAACCCGAGCATGTCAGGAGGTCTTCCTGCAACCAGGTACGGCGGTGTTCTCCAACAAATGGTACAATGGTTTGCCAGATGATGCTGCAGCAGAGACTTGCACCTGCTCATGCTGCATGTCGGAAAGCTTCAGTTCCACTTATCCAGATAGCGTGAAGTGTCCCTTCTCAATCCCTACCACAACGGTGACGACCACAACCACAACAACCACGACGACGGCAGCGCCAGTGGTGAGAACGCCTTTCGGGCCACCGACACTCAGTTGCAAGCTGCACAGCAGAGATTTGCTCATGCCAGTTGTGGGCTGCGTTTTAAACGGCAGTCCGGAGTGCGAGGGACCCGCAGTCTTCTGCACCTCGTGCCTTGCGGCTCAGGATGGGGATGATGATGTTTCCCACGTTCCCTCGGTAAGCAATGCGAGAAAGCCACGAGCGGTTGGAAAAGAGAGCACTTGGGGGCATCGTCATGTGCCTCGTTCGTCGGATCATGTGGGGACATCACCTTCGCTTGTCGGAGTCGGGGTCCTTGCAAGGTCGCATCTCTCTCTGGGCTTGCTATGCCTGCTCTGCTTTTACAACGCTGGCAGCGTGCGGCCCAGAGTGGAGGAGCCCGATGAGGCTCAGAACTCTCGATTCCTGTGCTCCGTCCAGCGACCGCACTCCCAGCCCCTGGACCAGGGCAGAAGCGCCGCGCCAAACACCTCAGCCACTTCGGTTTCGAAATCAGGTGCCGTCCGCTGCCGCTGCGTGGCAGTTTGCATGTTCTCGGGACCCAGCACAAAAGTCTGAGCCTTTTGCGCCAGGTGTCGCCGGTGTCGCTACAAGAAATGCCAGTCAAGGCGGCACTCAGCCTGCCAACAGGTCTCAAACGTGTCTGGGACAAGGCTTTGGTAAGTTGTTTTGCAGAAACTGAATAAACGAAATAACTTGGGTCATGGTTGTTGGCTCGCATCGTAGAGTGCAATTTAAGCCGTGATGTCTAAATTGTTACGGGTGCCCGTTGCTGTATAGCTCAGGTTCTGTGATCTTGTTCACTACGCTATTCCGGAGCTGAAGAACGTCTCAATGGTGCCGGCACCCAGCACAGACGTGGCCCCTGAAGAAACGACAGGGTCCAGTTGCTCGGCTTCAGGTGCCCGACGCCGTCGGCGAGGCTTGCGACCTCCTGGGCCTGGAGGCACCTGCCACTCGTAGTGGCGCCCTCCTTGGATGATCTGAAAGAAGCTAAGATGTGTTGTTTCACTCAAAGGCCGAAAAATGCAGAACCGCACACAGCCTCTGGAGCTGCATCCCGGAGGCCCCGACCGAATGCTCCACAAATCCTAAAACACTGCCTCCTCTAACGCAGAGCCTTTTCTCTCGCCAGGAGGGCGCCTGCAAGTGCAAATGGCGTCCCTTCTGCCACGGGGTGGACGTGGTTCTCAAAGCAGCAGCCGATCAGCTGGCCTGCCGGCCGAATCTTGGAAACTTGGCTAAAGGAAGCTGCTTGAGTTCAATCAAGCTTGAGAGCGTCGACCAGTACATTCGAGCAGAGCCGTCGCTAAAAGATCTTATGTTTCGAAAGCGCGAGCTAGTTAGAGAATCTAGTGGGAAAGTGCGGCACTCTCAGAGCATGCTGAAACCGTGAGGATATGGGACATGCCAGTGTTGGGCTTTCGGCGAGTGTCCTTCGCAATCTGGTGACCCGTTTGCACACAGACTGCTTGTTTCTGAGATGCTTTGAGTTTATCCGCTTGGCATGCTCGGCCAATAGAACCTCCAGTGCTCAATCAGGCACAAGGCTTGATGCTCTCACCATGTCGCACCACATGGTAGCAGATTTTGGATTCCATTGCCACCTGAGTGTTTCACCTTCGTAGCCAAGCCATTTCTGTCAGCCGGAGCTGTCAGACTTCAGTTTCCTCTCCGACTCCTTTCTTTCAGTTGCCACAGTTCACTGCAGGCAACATGCGATGGGGTAGCTTGTGCACGGTTGTTTGATTATTGCTTGTGCAGTGCTGGTTTCAGAGATGCTTAAATGACTGCCTGCACAAGGCCGGTGCAGTCTTGGTTCCAGTCGAATCCATACCTTCTTGCGCTGAAGCCCTGAGGCAGTTGGAAATGCTCTCGATCAGCACAGGCTGCTTATCTTGAAAGTTGGGCTACTGCATTCACCGCGAACGTCCTAGCTCGGGAACGCAGAAGGCAGCTTGCGCTTGTCTGTTTTCTTGTTTTCCATGCGACGTTTGAGCCCTTGTGCACATGAGGCCACGTACACTGCGCAAGATGAGTGGCAGCTACATGAGGCCCACGGGGTTCCTCTGACATAGCACGGCGAAAGAGCATGTGCTGTGCTTTGCACTTTGCGACCCCTGGAGGCAGACTTTCTTAGCTTTAGCTTGGCTGGTGGTCGCATCTCCCGTCGCGATGCTAGTCCGGACCACAGGGTTGTGGGGCATCAGCCCAAATCTTCACTATCACGACTTCCGCTCCACCTGCTCAGCTGTCCCTTTCGTCACATGAATCGGTGTTGCTGCCCAAGAAGGCTGCATGCGAATTCTGCAAAAGGTCAGAAAGATACACGACGGTTGAAGCTGGAGGCCAGCCTCCTATGCCCCAAAGCACAGCTAAGATGCATACACGGAGCATCATGAAGAATGAAGCTTGTTTCTGCAGCAAGTCTGCCTGCACATGCAGGAGGATCTTCTCCGTGCTGGTTCCTGCCACTGCAAGCAGGCTTGAGACGAACATGCTCGCCTGGCAGCTGCGCCGTCACCATCGAAATCTTAGGGCCTACGGATGCTGGCTGCTTCTTGTCCTGCGTGCTGGCAGGAAACTGTGCAGATACCGCTGCCGCTGAGCGCCGAGGCTGCAGCATGAGAATACCGGAATGGGTGACAAAGCCTTTGGCGGCTGTGGCCGCCAAAGGTACATCACAGGCTTGAGCTAAGACTTTCTTTCCTGTTGTTCTGTTCGGTGACAGGACGGGTCCTGTTCAGCGCTTTCTGAAAGAGGGGTTATTGATTTTGGGAGTGTTGGTCCGGAGTTTGCCAGCACGACTTAGGCCCTTGTTATGATTTGGGGAAGAGTTCTATCGCAGCTTTGAGGCTTTACCCGGACCCAGACGGCAAGACGCCATTTTGTTGAGGTTTAGCTTTCCGACGTTGGCTCGCCAGAAAGGATGCCCTGAATCCTGGAATTGGTTTTTCAAGATGAAGGGGGGGAGGTACTCCCCGATGCCATGCCATCGGCCATTCGGGTTTGGAGTTCAGAAATATGAAGGAGGCCTTCGAAACCCAGGGGACAGTGCTTGAAGCACCCAAGGCCCACTGGAAGAGGAAGCGATCCTGGGCAGCAAGCTTTGTAGAACAAAATGCATGGAACTGATAGCTCGTGGGTCAGCATTTCGACGGTCACCGTTTGTAAGCCTGAAGTCCTTTGATGTGTTATCTCCTCATTGCATGGAATGGCTCCTCCATGCTCCTCATCTGTAAGTCCACTCGAAGGTGGTGCAGGGCCCAGCAAGCGAGAGAGAGCGAGGGCGGGAGCCGCCTTAAGGCTGATGAAGGATGCCCTCCGGCCTTTGTCCTTTCCGCTGCAAAATGCCACAGCTGCTGGCATACCCATCGCCGCCTGGCACGCATCGTAAAAGAGATGAAATGCAGGTGGTTGAATTTATGAGCCTCCGGCTCAAGCCGCCGACCCCGCAGGCGTCACAGGGAAGGATGGTCTGGCAGGCATGCAGGTCTCAGGTCGACTTGTCGACGTACGAACAAGCCTGGACCCGAGATCCCGAAAGGGTGGGAAGGGTGAGATCTTCCTGACCGGCGGCTTCGGGGCATTCGTGTGGGAAGGTCCTACGGACGGCTCAATTCGCCCCATGCAAGGATTTGAGACGGCACGATGCGCAGGTTCTTGGGTCCTCCATGGAAAAAGTCGCGGGGTACCCCCATGAAGTTGACCCAATGTCGGGAGGAGGGAAAAAAGGGAGGTTTACGCGCCTCCAAACCCATCCAACACGCCGCCAGGGTCGGCGGATGTCATGAGATACAGTCCCGTCTTCAGGAAAACAAGCAGTCCGACAAAGATGACTCTGGGAAGACCAGGCAACTGGTGCTGCCGTTCAGACCAATTTGCCCCTACTTGGAGGATCATGGGACTTAGTAAGTAAGGTTATAAGTCCCCTAACTGGGATTATAAGTATAGTTACCCTAATTATAACCCTACTTACTAAGTCCCATGATCCTCCAAGTATGAGCCTTTCTGGGATGCCATGTCCGCCGGACATGCACGATGGAGCTAGTACATCGCGCGGAGGCTTGCTCTGACGATCAACCCGAAAAAGGATCTGAAGGCGCCGCATCTCGGCAGGCAAGTAAGGATCGGCGCAGCGTCCGAGGGACGAGGGACACCCGAAGAAAACTCGTCGCACCTCCAAGTAAGCTCAGGTCGAATCAGCCTACCGACAAGCCGTCAAGGACGTCATACAAGTTGTGACGTGTGTGTATTGCTGTTATTTCCAGGGAAAAAAGCGATCACAAATGTCATGAGCATTACCAGTTCTACTTCTACGAGCAAGACGTTCAGTATGCAAGACTGCGAGTCGACCTTGGCCACAGGACAAGCTCTGTCGCATTCGGCTTGGCTATGCTTGCTGGACCTCCCGCATCTTGGACACACTTTTGACGCAAAGACCAAGTTTCTTGCTCTGTGCCCTTGAATTGTGTTGAAACAGGAAGCTGTCCGGGCATGCCGCCAATCGAAGGTAAAGTGTTGAAGCTGTAGAAACCTCTCAAGCCCAATTCCGGCATGGCTTCACATCTGCGACAGACCAGCACCTTCTTTTGCACCAAGGTGCACGGCGGAGAGGTCGGGGGAGACATTCCTGAGCATTGTGCCGCCCGATCGCTCATGAGTCCTATGAGTTGCTGCCGCGGCTGGAAGTTTCTGCCAGAGGTTTTTGCGTTTCCATGGTCCGACGGGATGCCGAAAGCACACATAAGCACGCCATCGGTTGCTGCAGTCGTAGTCCCTCAGGTCATCACGGACGGGGTTGTCACCTTCAGCAAGCTTCATGTTGCGGTCTTGCTCCTCATGATGCATTCCAGCTGCAAGTAAGACGTCTCAGCTCCGCCTCGGGAGTGTAAAGCTTTGACTCAAACCTGTACTACTCGTGCGTCCAACGTGTCAGCGTTCACATTTGAGGCTTCCTGTGGCTCTCGTCCTTCTGCTCATCGTTTGCTGCAACTCGGGGACGCTGGGGAAGCAATGATGCTCAGAGTCTGCTATAATTGAAAAGTGACAGTAGAAGATAATAAGACACTGCCACGATTCCAACCGATGGTTGTTGCTACAGCCCCACATCCTCTTCCTCAATCGTCGCCAGGATGCTATTGGGTTTCTGGCTGGGGAGGACCCTGACGGCAGCTCCTAAAGTGCCCGAAGCAAACCGCAAAAGCTGCATCGGAGCATGTGCCAGCTTCTGCGCTCACATGATGTGGACTCGCACAGGGTATGCGGCTTCTGACTTACAGTTTCTCTGATCGCTTGCGAGAGGAACGCGTCGCCCTTGGCATTCGATCCTGGAGCCAGGCAAGATGGCAGCAGACTTGAAGCTCCCTGAGACTATACCTATAGTCTCCATTGTAGTGCCTTTTTTTGGTTTAACCAATTATATATTAAGGATTTTTATAAGGTATCCCCAAAAAGGAACTACAATGGAGACTATAGGTATGTTGTAATTAGACACTAGCCGCTAGCCGCTCAGCCTTTGGTTGTGCGGTGGCTTCTTGTCCTGTTGGGTGGAACAGGCGCTCGTCCTTCGGCACACCCCGCACGATGCCGCCGTTGTCGTTGACTCTTCTTCTTGCCCCTCAGCTTGTCAATGTCGAGAAATTGGCGCAGTCTGGAAATGCCCACAGTACTCGCAACAAGCTTTTTATCTAAAGACCGAAAGACATGACGGCAGAAGTCGGTTTCCCAGCCCCTTTCAGAGACGTGTCGTTTGAGCGGTGCTCCTGGTAATGCTGCGAGCTCTAGCCTGTAGGCGACGTCTCCAGGTAATTATTCAGTGAGACTTTGTTTTTGTTGGTGCCGACAGCCATTCCGAAACGATCAAGCCTTCAAGCTCTTCATGGAATTCGTAGGTGTGCAGCGTTCTCAGTCCAGCAGCGAGTTGTTCGGGATGACGTGACGCTCGAAGTTGAGGTTTTGCTCATGGTCCTCATGAAAATCAATGTGACGCTGGGCGAAACCTGCTCACAGGCCAGTCGTCCGGACCCGATAAGCATCATGTAAGAAACTTTTAAGCCACCGTTTCGACCACAGCCCAGCTCGCTCGTGGAATCCCTAAGGCGACTGTAGTGTATCTGTTGGAACGGTTTGCCGTGAGCAATCAGCATCGCATGACTGCCATGGAAGAGCATCATTCACGGCTTACGCACGCTACCGGTCTTCGGCAGAGAGTAGCAGGTAGCAGGTGCTCCCGGACAACAAGTTTCTCGTACAAAGTCTCGGAGAATGCGCAGCTTAGGACATCGGTTTTGACCACTGCCCACATCATTATCGACGGCCTGAAGGGCCAGGGTGCATTTCCGACGGCAGCGGCCTTGGCTTGCAACGTAAACCTACGGGTAAGCCTTTAGAGCATCTGCACTCTAAGTCCTCTTTGGATGCACTCAGGCATCGAAGTTTGCCTGGGGAAGCTTCAAGATTCCTTCGGAAGGCCGGGAGCTGGGGTCCATGTCGGTGGAGCAGCTACCCATAGGCCCTAAAGTTCCTTTTGTGGGTTCATATATAGAATCCTATAAGGTAACCCCAAAAAAGGAACAACTATGGGCCTATGCGTAGCTCCCAAGACTCCACGGCCATGTTTGATTCAGATCGTGCCATTCAGCTGCACACTTGTCACAGGACTCCTCCGACCTTTCCAGGTATCCTTCTCGAGTCTGTCTCCCCCACGAGCCTTCACTGTCCACCCTTCTGTTCATGTTCAGGCTTGGCCTCTGGCGTCCTGCTGGCCTCCGAACCCTTCGGGGGAATGTTCGGCGTTCTTCTTGTGGGCGCATACATGCTGAGGAGCTACGGAGCTGAGTGCGCATGTTACCCTGCACACAGAAGCCATGGTACTGGCTTGGCCTGATTTGGCCTACTCGTCCCCAGGAAGCCGAAAGAGACTATTCTGGCATCATGTGCCTGACTTGGAGTAATCATTTCGCATCAGTTGGAGCTTCACACAAGCAGCGAGTGCCAGTTTGCGCAAATCAGCTCCGTCGCTGCGCATCTGTGAGCAGCTTGTAAGGTGCGATAGTCGCCTGTTTGCATTTAAAAAGATGTTACTGCATGGTGACATCAGTGAGATATCTTGACGAGCTTGCAAGTCCTTGCGGCAACAGGCGCAAAAATGGTCAACAGGCCGAAAAGGTCGCACCAAGAGAGAACCTCGTTCGTCTGTGTTTAACTAAGGTATTCATTTGCAGCATCGGCTTTCTCCTTGCCCTACGCATATCAAGCAGCTTGGTACGGCGCATGATAATGCTGGATGAGGCAGTAGACTGCGGGTGCGTCTCGGAAGCCTCTGACACGACAGGTATTGTAGTTGGTGCTATCATTGCTTTGACATGCCAGACACACACACACACATCTCCGAGGTCTACCATTGATGATACTCTTGAGATTTCTCAGTGGGCTGGCAGAAGGATCCCCGCTTCCGGCAACACGGGACACACCTCGAAGATTCACGCAGCTGTGAAACAGGGAGGTTCTGACTGCATCGCAGGGGAACACGAGGCTTATGGCAGGTGCGTCCGCAGAGTGTCGCAATCTAGAGGCAAAAGCTGTGCCAGAAGCCTCGCCTACTGCAAGTGATGTGGCGACAGGATCCTTATACCTGGGCCATGTGTACTTGGCGCGATTGAGCCACTGGCCTGCTATCACAGGGTGAGGAATGACCGAATTCAACAAGTTCTCGAACTGTAATGTTCGTGCACAGCATGCCATGCTTGCCCCACATGACTCGAAAGCGGCGCATGAGTACAGCTACAAGCCTACATGCGCAAAGCAGAGATTTTGACTTTCGGACTCGCTTTGAGCAGTCCGGAAGCCCAAGAAGTCAAGTGCTGTGGCTGTACCTCGAGGTGCGCCGGATGTGCGAACCAAGCCACTCAGCTGCAGCTCCTCCCTCTTGAGCTGGTACACATAGGTGAAAAGCACCTATGTCATGTGTTTTGTGTTTGTCCTGGCCCGGTGGAACTGCCACAGGCATGCCAGGTGGGTGACACCAATTAAAAACTAGTACCATCTGTTACCACTACTTGCCAACCCACTCTCTTCTTCCTTCGTGGGTTGAGGGCGCGCGCGCGCGCGCGGCCGAGGATCTTCGGCTACTGGGAGCTCGGCACAGCTGCCGGCCTCGTGAGCGGTCCTGCTTTGGCTTCCTTCCTCGCAACAGGCTTCTTGCCCATGGCAGATTGCACGAAGCGTTGGGCTGGGCAATAGGCGACACTAGCATCAGTCTAGATGGTAGTGACTAGTGATTCTCCGCGTGGACAGAGGTGGTCGGAGGGACACTCAAATCTTTGTACGAAAGATGTCACTGTCACGCAAGGTCCGTGGGCGCAGGTTCTGCCGGGGCCAGGGGAGTGGCCTAGCTGCATCTGGCGCTTCACCGACCGCCAACATGGAAAGGGTTGCTCCATGTTGTTCCTGATTCAGGGCGATGGCCGTTTGCATTGCCATGCTCGCATGCTGTGCCGTGGTCGCAAAGGGTTGGCTTGCTCAAGACTCTATCGTGATAATGCTGACAGTTCAGATCCGGCAATTGTGGTCTGCCAGAAGCTTGCTTTCGAGATAGGATTAGGGTTTTGGTCACCTGCTCGCATCAGGTTTGATGTTCGCCATCCTCCTCTTCTTCCCCAGCACATCGGACTTGTGCGAGGATGGTGCTGTAGGCGGGGGCAATCAGGGCAGCTGCTTTCTTGCAATTGTGGGGGGCCCGAAGCCTTTGCACGGAGTCATGATGCACTGCCTTGGACAGGCAGTGTATGAGAAGCCCGTGTGGAGCAGCCGATGGGTAAGCTGTCAAGGTGCTCAGCCCGAGCGACCAAGCCCTTCAAACAACAGCGATTAACCCGAACAATCGTGATCAGCACGTCACCGACACCAAGACTGGATTGGTTTAAAAAACGGAAGCGTCGGCAGTGGGTTCTTGGGCAACGTGCAGCTCCACAAAACTTGACGGGCAACTTCGCTTCAAATGCTCTCCATCGATGCAGATAATTATAGACTTTTCCAGGGCGACTCGACCATTTTCGCAGTATGGGACCGTTATACTTTCCCATGGGCAGGTGCACGACCACTTTCCGGGGCGGTCCGCACCCTGGGCGTGAGCAGTGCGTGGGTTTCCGCTGTGATACATGCAATCTACAAACACATCTCCCGGAACATGCTTGGCAGAAGGCTTCGGTTGCTGCTTTTCCACGCAAGCAGAGGCCTTAACGGACAGAGCATGGACGGTGCAGCTGACATTGTCCGGCAGCACGGGCCTCAGTGACGGCAAAGGCTGTCAGGGCTCCCTTGCATCCTGAACGCCATCGACCGCCCATACGGTAGCCAAGAGTTGTGGAAGTCTCCGCTGCTGTCATCCTCGCAGAGCTGCTGTGCAATTTGCGCCTTGCACCCGGCAATCCCCTCTAATTTCGGCATAACAGAACTCCAGCCTTCCAACAGCCGGCAGATGGCAACTGGAGGACGCATGAACCTGCCAAGCTGCTGCAGGCACGATCGTGCGGCTGCTGCTTCGGCTCGCGTGGGAAGCGGCCATTCCTCCTGCACAAAGGGTGAAGAGTGCTCGCAAACTGTCAGATGGAGATGCGAGCCGTTGTTGAACTGAGGCCGCGGCGCTGCCAGACTGCAGTCAGTGTGTGAAGCGAGAGAGGGAGGGACAGAAAGTGGAGGGACACGCCGAGCTGTCCCTACGAACCCCTTCCAGTTCCTTCGCACAAGGATTGTTTTGGCAACGCACTTCTGCCTCGGGCATAAGATGTCCGGCTACGGCTGCTCGGCCTGAAAATTGCTTCTCAAGCTTCCAAAACGTTTCGAGAAAGCAGGTCTACTCTATGGGCAAGTGCGAACCAAGCAAAGCTAGGCCACTACGTGGCACTCCAGCAACTCCAGCGCGCCCCAGGCATTACTGTCACCTTTGCCCTTTACATGGCGGCACAAAGCATCTTCGTGGCCTGTCAGCATCGAAGTTTACGTAGTGTGTTCAGCGTGCAGCTTTGGCTCGAAGAAAGGTAGGGTTTAGGGTTTAGGAAGCCCCCTGCAATCACTGAGTGGACAGTGGAATTGCGGTGACATGTTTTGTTCTGGTCTTGCGATGTCCTTGGTATATTTTTCCAGGTTCATGGGCTTGATGTTACTTTTACGTCATCCGATCCTCATCTTGCCCATCCCAGGGTGACTTTCGAGTTTGCGACAGTTCCGGAAATCGTGTGGAGTGGGCTTGAACCCGCTAGCCAAGGTCATGTACTGCGAGAATTTTAGCGATCACACGTTGATCCGTTCCTGCGAGTTTCTCGAGATGATTGGGCTAGTGGCCTGGAGGCAAGCACTGCTCCTGGTCGATTTAATCAGCTCGGCACTTCGCGAAGTTTTGGTTCTTGTTGCGAACAAGAAAGCAAGTGAGGGATGTGAGGGGTACCTGAGAGAAACTTGCACGTTTTGTCAGATGGCTTGTGAACACTATAGGTCCTGATGTTCCGAGTGCCCTCGGACGTGGAGACCACCCTGATGGAGGACGTCATGGGAGCCAGTGCTTTCATCCGAATCTTGGGAGCAAGAAGAACTACCATTCAGCGGCAGTTGCAGAGAGGTCTTCCTCATGCCTGCGAGTGTTACTGTGAGGTCTTGCGCAGTTTCTGCGCCTCGGCCAAAAGCGAAGCCAAGCTTCAGGACCCGATGTCGAACTGCGGAAAGTTTCCGCAAAACCTCCATGATCTAGGACATAGGACTCATTCAACAGCTTACCGTGTTGCTGCCAATCAAAATACGAGGCCAGCCTGAGAGTGTGTTGAGGTTCGGCTCCGCGCTTTTCTACACTGGCACCTTGGAGTTGGGATCGGAAAGCTTTGACCCTAAACCCTAAACCCTAAACCCTAAACCCTACACCCTAAAGCTTTGACTTGGGGAGCCTCAGGCTGTTTTTTGGAGGTTTGGGCCCCTATGACTTGGGGAGCCTCAGGCTGTTTTTGGAGGTTTGGGCAGTTTTTCGATGGGAAATGCGCTGCCCCGTGGTGAGGTAACTGCCTGACTTCCGCGCCTTTGAGCTCATGGGCCACGAAGTTTGGCCCCGGGAGATCTGTCGAAAGCACTTCCTTATAGTCTTAGTGTCGGCCCAAACTCTGGAACTCTGGCGAGTCAGAACCCTACCTATAGTCTCCATTGTAGTTCCTTTTTGGGGATACCTTATAAAATCCTTAATATATAATTGGTTAAACCAAAAAAAGGAACTACAATGGAGACTATAGGTATTCTCTCCCATGCATGATGTCCGCAGCCGAAGTGCAGGAGCGAATCGGTGATGTTCTTTGCACACCTGGCCATCCAGTGCCTCAGTCCGATTTGGAAAAGAACTGGGCAAATGGCAAGTAGCAAGTTCTTTCCGGCTTCCTCACCCTGCATTTTTTCAACACTCAAGGTAGCAACTGCTTTCGCCAAACTGAAGGTGTGGCGTTTTCGCCGGCGGCTTGCTCTCGCGAGTCTTTACGAGTGCGAAACTCAGCGCCGCAGTCTCGCAGTAGTCGGGTCGAGCTGCTGTCGCTTCGAGTCTGGGTCCGTGCGGTCTTTTTGTACACACCACTCCGCAGGGAAACCACTCATGCTCAGCCCACGTTCTGATTGTGTCCATGCGCGGTCGCCGACAAGCAGAACAGCTTGAGGCATGGACCCTCATCAGAACATGATCGTCGTGGCTTGGCGCATTCGGAGCTGTCGTCTTGGCGAGCTTACTGTAGGAGCCACCGTGGAGTGTTCTAAGAAAAAGGTCTTCTCTTTCTGCCAAGGCGATGCTGCTACCGGCACCATAGTCGCACTGGCGTTACTGGCGTTACGCTGTACTCTGCACGGGCATCCGCAGTGAACTAGCTTGTTCAGAGCGCAAGTGCATGAAACCACGCGTTGGTTTGGGCCCAGCGGGCGTGCTAGCCATGAAGCTTGTAGACAATTTCTGCGCCATGCACGCGCTGTTGTGCATGCTGGGCATACTGCTGGGGACCGCTGGCTCAGCGAGCAAGGGTGCTGCGATTCCGAGCTACCAAGACCAGTGCTCGGACGGCTCCGTTGGCAAGATATGTTCCACACACCGAAGAATCCAAAGAAGGTCTTCCGCACCAGTCATTCTGGACCACGATGGCAACTACGACGACATTCTCGTCCTTTTGGTGCTGCTGAATTTTCGCCCGGCAGTGGACTTGAAGGCAGTTCTGGTCACTCCTGCCGACTGCGAGCTCGAACCTGCTGTCGACGTCTCCTCCACAGTGCTTTCCATGTTTGGTCATGATGCACCCGTGTTGCCAGGCAACTTTCCTGCACGCTTCAACGAGTTTCCCCGGGTTTGGCGAGAGCTGGCCTCCGAAATGCAGCAAGTGGCTGACATCTATTTGCATGCCTCTGCCTCGTCAAGGCCGAAGCCGAAGCCTGCGGTCACTGCAGAAGAATGGCTTGCAGACTATTTGCTTAAGGCGGAGGAGGAGGAGAACAAGACGGATTTCGTTATCACAGGGCCTGCGACGAATTTGGCATCGACGCTGAAGCAGCACCCCGAGCTGATAAGGAAGGTGGGTACTGTGCTCTGGATGGGGGGAGCCGTGGATGTGAATGGAAATGTCCGCGACGATGACCAGCGACCGCAGGAAAGCGACGGCACCGCCGAGTGGAATGCTTTTTGGGATCCTGAAGCTACCAGAGATCTCTTAAAGTTGGGCCTTGACCTAAGGTTGGTCCCCCTCGATGCCACTGACGATGTCCCGGTCACCAAGGACTTCATCCGGCGATTGGACCCGACCCTCGAAGTGGCCCGTACTGCACGCCAGATCTGGGCACAGTCAAAGTTTCAGAAGAGCAATGCCGTGTACTACATGTGGGACACGCTGACGGTGCCCTCCCGGCATCCGTAAGGGTTTCCGATCTTCCGAAGTGATCAAGACGGGAAGGAGGGAGGGAGAAACGGAGAACAGGTAGACTTGCAGTCCTTGTGGTTGGCATGCTTAGACTGCAAGACCCAACGTCACAGCGCGCATCAGCCGGGGGTGGACAGGGGTATCAGCGAGAGGTGAGGTGCAGGTGCTCGCAGGTGCAGAAGGAACGCAGAGCCCCTTCGGACTTGGCTCTAAGTCAAGTTTATCCTAAGCCCCCAGGTACCTACTATATAGGGTACTAGAGCCGCTGGGGCCCTTTGTAGTAGGTACCTGGGGGGTTAGGGTTATCTTGACAAACCAACCCTCACCTTCGAAACTCGAAACTCAATGACAGGGAAGGCCGTTATGAGGAGAGAGACCGTCTCTAAGTCCCTAGGCACCAAGAAGAAGCAGACAAATGCAGTCGCCATTGTCGGAGTTTAAGCTGTACGGTCGTTCACCGTATTCGGGTCCTAGCAGCATCCGGTAACTTGTCACCTGAAAGACCCAAACTTACGAGCAACCGGCTGGTTGTTTCCTTAAACCGAATTTGCGATGTTAAGTGTTGATGTTGTCGCGCGCTCCGTTATGTTTCTCCTTGCTGTCTTGTGGCATTTATAGGGGCCCTACAAAAAAGTAGGTTCTGGTGGGTTAAAGTAGAGATGAATTTGTTGCCCCCAGACTTCCTAGCCTTGGAGGTCGGCTTGTACCTTCGACCCGACCTGTGCACCTGGGAGGCCATGCCAAGCGGGTTTCTGAGGGTGTTCTGGATTCGTTGTGTGGGCTCCCAGAAAAGGTGCTGCAGTTTCATGCCCGGCTTTGGGTTTGCAATGGTCTTACATGGTCTTACTTAGGCCGCGGATCGCTGCTGCTGCCGCTGCTACTGTCTGTCTCGGGTTGTTCCAAGTAGCCCCTGGCTCTTTCAGTGTCACGGGCATGCACTGTAACTGTATGGCCTGCGCACCCGACCGATGCTTTGGCGTCAACTTTGGAGGCTTGCGACTTCTGGCGCTTGCCGAGTTACCGTTAGTGTCAGCAGAGCTTGGAGGAGTCTTCCTTGTTACAGGTTCCCCCCCGTCTTTGTTGATTCATTGCCAATTGAAGGCCACGGCTTTCTGCAGTCATGGGACATGTGGGGGTCTCCGAAAATAGGGGACCCTAATACAGTACCCCAAATAGTAGGATCCTTATGATAAGGACCCCAAAATAATGTACCCCTTATTTTCGGAAACTCCCACGTGGATCGGAAGGAGCTTCGCCTGCGGGGCTGGGCTGAAGGTCATGCTCAGGGCCGCACAGAACGGGCCGAGGCCGGACAGGGCCGAGGGCCGAGAGCTTTGCAGAGGGTCGCAGCGCCCAAGCCGTGACGGCCTGCACCGTGAGAACCCGCGCTTCAAAACGTGATGGTGATGGAGATGATGATGATGGATGATGATGATGATGGTGATGATGATGATGATCGTGATGATGATGATGATGATGATGCTGGTGATGGTGATGACGATGGTGGCAGTAAAGTTTACAGATTGAATTGTGTTGGTCGTAACGACGACGATGGCTATTGAGTGTCGTCGGTATTTACTGCATGAAATTATGGACTCTAGCTCACATTTGACTTGGTTCTAGGGTTTGGGCACCACTCGAGCAGACGTTCAGACCAAGTCTTGTTTAAGTCTAAGTGATTGCCCAGCTGTGGACTTTATGCAGGTCTTGCAGCCATTGCATCAAGGATACATGCGAAAGAAACTTGTTGCTATTAGTGTTATCAGTGTTAGTGGTAGCGGAATTTGTGCGGAGCCACCCCCTGTCCTTGATCATTCTTGCGTCTTGGCAGGATGCTCCAATCGCTCTCATGGCGACGAACACAGACGTTTCCGGATTCACCGACTTTCTACTGGATGTGTTCAACAACAGGAAAGGCTAAAGGCCGTTTCTGTTCGCGCTTGGAATAAGCCCTTTTTGACCTCGGGCCGAGTGGTTGGACTCGAGGTCAGCTGTTTTCCCTGCTAGTGGAACATAGTGGAACGCACTCAAGCATGAAGCAATCCTCGAGAAGTTGCACATATGTCCAACAGAGACCGTGTGCACGTGCGGGATTGCGCATGGGCAAAGTACCCTCAGCGTCGTTTTGACCAGCTTACTTGCCTATGTCCTGGAAGCTTGTCCGTTGCTGAGCGACCCATCTTTCAGGGGAGCTGATGCGAAGCACTCTGGCAGGAAGACAAATTCAGAGAGGATGTGTCTGAGCAAGGATGTGAATTAGCAGGTCTGAGGCGTGGATTCGTGCCAGCGGGGGCATATCGGTTCATCTGAGGATATTGACAAGTTGAGGAGGCGAATTTCATTGAAAATCCGACGGTTGACCAGAGAGGCAAAACGTCAAGGGGACATGAAGGGACCACAGCGTGTTGGCTTTGCACTATCTGGCGCTGAGGTAGTCTGCCTGCAGATCATGCTTTCCGAGCTGGGCATCGGAATAACATCAGTATTGGCTTTTCTGCTGCATTGGGCACAGTGCTTTGTGGGCTGGGGTTGCAAAATCACCTGTTGCTTCCTGGCATGGCCACATCCCAAAAGCAACAAAGGACAATCGCTCCAGCTGTGAAGATCAGGACGTCTAATTGGTCGGCGTGGTGGCATCCACAGTCTTCACACAATGAAGCGCTTCTTGAATGCTGTGTGTTGTCTCTTTGCTGAGCCGTTGCATGGGCAAACCAGTTTCTTGATGTGCCCACTGGATTCTCTGTTATTTCGCAGTCCAGCGCGTATTGCTCGTCACAGCCTTTGCCTGGTGAGACAGGAGTGAGCATCCAGAGTCGGAGCGCAGCACGGCACCTCTGCGACCGGAATGTGTGCCGAAGAAAACAGGTTGAGCAAGAGCTGCTCGCAGCAAAGACGGCCAGACTCTTGCCTGCGGCATGCCCCCCCGCTTTGGTCAGGCAGCATTGCTGAACGGGCAGAGCGAGCGGATTGTCCTCATGGGTGGCTCGACTAAGGCTGTGAGACGCATCCTTGCAGTTTCTGTGACACCGAAACTTCGACCGCAGCCGAAGTGAGCCGCAAGCAGTGCACAGCCACTGAGGCATGTCTCAAGGTGGCGGACAGTCCATGCTGCGGCCCGCCATCCAGAGTCCGTTTTCACGAGCTGTGGGCTTCATCCTGAAACCTCACTCGTAGGAAAACGTGCGGCCGGTCGTTGAAAGCGTTCAAGCTAGCCCTCAGCGTGCTTCTGTGCAGGTTCCTTCGCTCACGGATTCGCTTGGGCGGGTGGGTTGGCTCTGTGTGCCACGTGCCCACGGCGCCCCACACACCCCGGGACCGTGCCCAGGCTTGAGAGATAATTGTAAGAATTGTAGGTGATGTGGTACTGATTTGCCTTCGTACATCGAGACTGCGGATTTGCTTTACAATTCTTGCCGGATACAGTGGCCGGGAGATGCCGGGAGTATGCAGATGGCGGGGCGCAGGCTATCCCGCTCCTCGCAGGGCTTTGCAGGAAAAAACTTTAGCGCGCGTCCGCATGACGAAGACCTCCAGGTGGGTAGTTGTCGAAATTATGGTCCCTTTTGGGGTACCCTAAATGCTAGGTGCCGTATTATAATAAGGACCCAAAAAGGGACCCTAATTTTGACAACCACCCAGGTGATCCGTTGCTGGCCATCGCTCGACCCACGGCTTCGCAGCTGCACACGGCATAAATCCTCACTTGCGCTTCGAGAGTTTGCCCTACTGGACCGATTTCGAGGCGTGGTTAAACGGCGTGGGCTGCAGGGTGCCGCGGCGAGAGGAGGAATCGTCCTACTTGCAGCACGAAGCCAAGGTGAACAGATCGAGACCAGTGCGGCTACTGGCCGGAGAGGTGGGCACTGCAAAACGTCCGAAAGGTCTGCAGCCGCTCGATGAGCTCGAGCCTTGCACAGGCAGATTGTGTTTTTGCACCTGCCTTGGTGTGTGGGCCTAAGCGCGAGGCAAGCTCGGGCAGTATGCAGCAGCAGATTGCAGCAGCAGGGGTGACTACATCGGAGATATCCAGTCACCTTCTTACCTTCAGGCAGAGCCAAATCTGGCCTTATCTGCAGCCGTCAGCCACAAGCTCGCCTAAGACGGGCGAGTGGCAGGCTTTCTTAAGCTCTTACCACGTGCTTGCCTTGAGCTGAAGAACCAGAACGGCCGGCACCACAAGCAGCCGGACGTAGGCCCTGCAATATTCAAGCCAACCCGAGAGATGGGACTGCCTCCAACCTGAGTCTTTCAAGACGTCGGTTCCTCCACTCAGTGAGATTTCTTCGGCCTTCTCCTGATAATTAGCGACTGAAAACTGGGCGACAGCCCACCCTCGGCTATCGCCATGGGCTGCATCAGCTGCATCATGCGCCGCCGAGCCAAGAAGGCGCCGATGCTTCGCCGATGCTCTGTGCATTGGACACAGGGACTTGGAAATTTGCTTTAGCATGTCATTGCCTGTCGCGACAGATTTTGGTATGTCGTTGGCAGTTGTTCCAAGTTCCAGATCAGTCTCTTGCCACACACTGCACTCTGCCTGGGCACAGAACTGTTCAAGTAGACCCTCCGAGTGGCGAGTGGCAGTCTTGCCGCTGATGTCTGATCAACTTCGGGCTAAAGCACTGGTCGACCCCCTCACATTGGTTCTAGAATCCTAGTTTGTGCTGAACTGGGGCTGAAAAGTCTTGCAGTGAGGAATGTTTTGAGCCTTGCCTTGCAATGCCAGGACGACAAGGAGAGCAGGCAAGGCAGTGCAGTCCAGCTCATGACACATCTTGACCCCCGAAATGCTGTAGTCGCTGTAGTCAAAGAGGCAGTCTAGGATGAAAGATGAAAGATCGCAGTGGTGTCCAGGACGCCCACCGTGTCGGAGCGCTGCGGTGCAAGGGGCAGGGTGCATTGCACTGTTCGGAATGGCTCATCAAGCAACGAATCCTGAATTGGAGGGAGCATCACAGCCTACTGTCGCAGAGATGTATGCAGCTCACACTTTGCCAGAAATGCAACCAGGGGCTTCCTTCAGTTCAGCCTCCGATGCGATGTGCTGCCAGCGGAGATCTCTTTGTGTCTGTGAAGGAGCTTGAGCACCTGCTTCGCGATCACGACATGGAGGCTTGTGTGACTTACCTTTGGTTAGTAGGGAATGGAGGAATGGGGTACAATGATAGCTACTATTACTACCATTCTTCCATTCCCTACTAACCAAAGGTAAGGTGGGCAGCTGCCCCATCCTCACCGGTAGCACTGGATTCCGCAGACCAAGTAGGTCAACAGTCATGATCATCCACGTGAGGGCTTGATTGATTGGGAAGTTTCCAGTGCTGGAATGTCGATATCGGACATCGAGGATCTGAGTGTACTGGTACCCGTGATACCCTTTTAGTTTCTTCCTTTTAGGCGACGCATGTGCTAATTACAACCCATGGAAGTAATTGCAACCAGGAAGCAAGCAGTGCCTGTGGCTCGGAATCCCATTTCGCAGTGTAGTCTTTCTCAAAGGGATCGGTCGAACTGTGATGAATAATTTGTTCCATTAACCCAGCCCCATAATGATCAACAGTGGAGATCGTATGAGATCGTGCTGATTCGCATTATGGTTGCCGAGTTTTGTAGTTCCAGACCCGGGAGTGCCATGAAGATGCATGAAGACCTCCAGCAGTGCTTGGGCTGCCAGGTGGGCAGAAGACAAAAGAAGTCCGTCCTCGTGGAGGCCGAGACCTAAACCCTAAACCCTAAACCCTAAACCCTAAACCCTAAACCCTAATGACCCGCCCAGCTCTGAACTCTTCCATCTCGCAACATCGGAAGCCTTGGGCCGAGCCGCAAATCACCAGCTGCTTTCAGGCAGCTCACAAGATCTTGGCGAGTTCCGGAAACAACGATGTGCAGCGGATTATCGTGCTAAAGCTGCACTGAGATAAGGATTTGGGAAGATGAGCTTGTCACAAGTAACCCCCGTGCTGATTCTTGCACTTCCTTGATCCCTGCATGGGACACCCCGGAGCTTTGTAGCCACGGAATCTCTGGCCCTGCCACGCCGGCGAATCACATGCCTCACACTTAAGGTTGCAACCCTAAACCCTAAACCCCAAACCGACAGTAGGGGCTGATCAAGAGCTAGCTCTGACTGGCCGCACGCTCTGTGCTGAGGACAAAATCGCGAATGGAGAGGACTTCGACTTTGGGCGGCAACATGTGGGATTTTGTGGGGCGAGTCGGAAAGCAATCAGGCAATCTCGAGGTTTGCATCGCTTGCTCCGCCTTGCGTTTACGCCCAGGTGTTCAATCACTGGCGATGTCTCGAGACTCCAGACCGGGCGTTCTTAGCCGGCAATCAGCTTGCGGTAGCCATGGCACATCGGACACGCAAGCCGAAAGCACGGAGTAGTTCGGGTTGCTCCCAGACATCAGCTGCCCGAAATCGATGTCCCCGCTTTGATGCTCTGTCTTATTGATCCCGACATCGGGTAACGAGTGGGAGCTCGCAGCAATAAGCTGGAGAAAGCTTTCATTGCTCAGGAGAGGTGAGGTCATCACATGTTTAATCAACCGTTTGCCATTGTTCACAATGCCTTGAGCTCTGGCATCAGAAGTGCATCGTACAGGCGTGTGAGCTTTGAGAACATTGACATGCTGACCAGATACCGCAGGTACTACACCCTGGGCCCATTCGCTCAGCTAGAGCTGGAGATGGTAGAGGCGCGACGGCTTATCCCTGCCGTGTCAGGCATCATTCAGTCGCTTGGCTCGCCGTCAGTTGTGGTTTTGCTGATTGGAGTTCGGACAGGGTTTGAGTGAGCGGCCAAGTTGAGGGAAGACGACGGATAAGGCCTGCTTTGTAGCCCCTGCACCGTCTAGGAAGCACTTCGGGGACGAGCCGGATGCCTTCGTTCGTGTCTATGTCCGAAACTCAGTTCTACGGAGTTGGGCAGCCTTAATATCCAGCTGTGGAGGTGGCTGGTCATGCTCATGTCATTTAGGGCCCATGACCGATGATGAGCGAGATCGTGTCATGTCAACCACCCGGAACGACTGGCAGTCAGGGAGGCTTCAGCTACTTGCAGCGTCTCGAAACGGCTTTTCAAGTAGGGAGCTGCGAGCAGGAGCATCAAGGGGACTCACCACGCCCAGATTTGCCTGCAGGTAGATGACTGTCTCCACTACGCCGGACGCTGCATCTACAATAACCGCCGGCCGAAGTGGGAGGACACTTCGCACATCGGGGAAAGCCTGCAAGAACAAAAGCTTTGCTATCTAGACGAGCCGGCCTGTTCGCCAAGACTGTGTTTCTTCCCTGCTGTGCAGCTGTTTGCTTGTTTGCCTGCCGGTAGTTCATGTAACAACTAAGCTATCAATCTATCTGGTCGTCCATCCTGTTTTCGACTGCCACATGAGTACCCAACTAAGCCCACCGTCCCTCTATTATCGCTCCCTTCTTCTCACTCTCTCCACCCTCCCTCTCTCTCTCTCTCGTGCTCTTTGGCTCACTCCCTCTCTCTCTCTCTCTCCCTCTCCCTCCGTCCCTCCCTCTCTTTTGGTCTGGTTGCACTCTCGTTCTTGAAATCCCCGCATCTTTGTGTCCCCTCGTGTTTGTTGGTGCTTGCCCTCGCACATGAAGGGCAATGAGACGGGCTTGCATCTCCACGGCCTGCGTGGCCAGAGCCTATAGTCATGTCCTACACTACTGGATAGGCAGACGTCCAAGGCTGACTTGGCAGTCACTTCTATTGCAGGCATTGCAGGCAGTTAGGCTTGGAGAAATTGTCTACTTTATGGAAGGATTTGCAGCTCTTCGACATCGTGGCCGATCGCTCGATTGTGAGGGTGCATGTGTGTCTTGGCTTCACAGCTCTTTCCCAGCTCGTCACCCCTGCATTCCGGAAGATAAGATCAGAGCAGACAGGTATGACTCGGACAGCAAAGACAATTCGGCCGTCGAACCCCTGGGCTTCGTTGAGTTCTGCATTGCCGACATTCCCTTCGAGAAGGACCTGAGTTGAGCCGCTCTGTGCCATCTACGAAGGAATGCAACCCAGATCACAACAAGAACATGACATCGCCAAAAAGAAGAAGGTATGCCGCGAGCGCATGCATGTACCCATGTGCATGTGCCGCGTATGAGGCATTCATGCAGACATGTATGAAAGCCTGTATGTATACATTGAGATCCCTGCACATGTGCATGCTCCATGCATACATTTGCACACGCATGCACAGATGCTTACATGCAAGGCATGTCGTAATCACACGCAGCCAATGCCATGTCTTGTTACATAGAATAGGGTTGTGACGTGCGCTATAGTGATCCAGCGTGCGTGTGTGTGTGTGTGTATGCAAACTTGAGTACTCACATTAGATTTTCTAATAGAAGGTAAGAGCATAATATCATAGATAACGTCCCATGATAACTTGCATGTATGCATGTATGCATTGCATACATGTCGCCTGACCTCGTCGAGTGCGAGTCCAAAAAATGCATTGCATACATGTATTCACACGCATACACACGATATATATATATATATATATAGATGTATGTATGTATGTTTGTTTGTACACATACTGATACACACACATATATATATATATATATATACATATGTTTATATGTGCATGTGCCTGTGTGTGTGTGTTTTAGTTGTTTAGTTGCTCCATCTTGTGAGATGTATGTATATGTTCCTATGCTTAGCGTGGCTACATGTATATCTATGCTGTACGTCCATGTGTACTGGCATATTTTTGCTTCACGTACCAATGGCTGCAGGGAGGCATGTTGTTGGCATTTGTGCGCCACGGAAGGTATTGCACTTTCTGCCCGGGGCGTTGGATGTCGTGATTCGGGAGGGAGCCAAATTCAACATTATTTACGGTGTTTTTGCGTGTTCGATTGCGTTTCAAGAACGCCGTTATTTAGAGCATCTTGTGGTTTTGCGATGTTGTCCCACAGGCAGGATCAGAAAGCTGTTCCGTTCGGGAGAGAAAGGCATGAGGTCGGAGAGGGGTCGGGCTTTGTTCGCATACGCTAGCAAGTGCTGCAAACGTGCCTTGTGTGTGGGTTTAGGCAGATCGACTTCCTGCAGAAGCCTGAAACGGGGGCAGCTGCGGCGACGAGGTTTCATCGTGACGTTCTTGTTTCGTGCTTCCTGTGTTGCCGTGTTATTTTCTTCTCGATGGGGGGTAAGGGGGGAAGTGTGATGACGTTCTTGTTGCGTGCTTCTGGTGTTCCTGTGTTCTTTTCTTCTCGATGGGGGGAGGGCAAGGACGTACTTGTTCATGCTTCTTGGCGGGCGAGGGTCGGGAGCTTGTTTGCGTCATGCAGGTATTTACTTTCATGTCTTGCCGGGGGGGCGGTGGAAGGGGAGGGGAGAGGGAAATCACGTTCTTGTTTGATGCTCAATTTTTGCTCCGATAATTTTCCTTCCGGGCGCGCTCGATGTCTCAGGCCTGCAGGACGATCGAGTTCTTCAGTTGCTGTAAAGCTTACTGGCTGACTCTCATTTTGCGACCTTTCACGGCGTCCGACGGCACACGTACAATGTTTTTCATTCTTGTAGTATGTGCAGAAATAAAGAGACAGAGTTATGTTTGTGTATACATATATGCCACGCACGCACAAACATACACATGTTATGTATATAATATATATTATATTATATCATATCATACCATATCATATTATATTATATATATATATATACATATATGTATACACCTACATATACATGTATTTTATTTTAGTTATGTGTGTGTGCGCGCATGTGCATGTGCATGTACGTGTATGTATATATGTATGTGTAGATATTCGTGTATATATCTATACACATATATGTATGTTTAAAAATGTGTGTGTATACATATATACATATATATATATATATATGCATGCCAAGACTTTGCACAGGCTAGCATATGCATGCATGAGCCTATTTCAGACACTCGCTAAGGGTAGTGGGCATGCTGCCAGGAGATCGATGGATGGTTCGAGCTGAAGTTTGCGCAGAATCTCCAGGGGATCAACCTCGATCGCTATGCGCAACATTGCGTGGCTTGCTGCGTATGTGACCCATACAGGGATGCGCCGAGCGAGAGCTTTCTCCGTGCACGTCCCGACAAGAACCCCCTTTATAGCATGAGCATATGAAAGGCCAGTGCGAAGCCCGTTCGGGTAGACCGTCTTGTTTTCCCGTTTCACTGTCCATCGTCTCTCTCTTCACACTCATTACCCGGGCTGCCACCTGCACAGGCACAGCGTGAAGAGGACTTCAAGTTTGTCGCTTCACAGCATGCAGACGGATTTGCATGCATACCAATCAAGACGAGTTGCAGTCAGCTGCCTGTCCTGCACTGTCGGAGAGGTGCTAATCTGGGATTTTGTGCCGCAGCGGTAGTGTGGAGTACGGGCTAGGACGAGGGTGGCTAAGGAGATATACTGACACTCGCAACCAGTGCACTGTTCACAATGTAACGCAGTTTCTAAACTTGTGCTGATTTGCTCAGCGTTCATTGTCATAGCTAGTTTATCTGCATGGAGTCAAGAGAGTTTGCCAGAGGTAGAGATGGCGATAGAAGAGAACCCGAGCGGCACTGGTTGCTGTAGCTGTGTCGTCCTAGGACCTCAGAGAGCTGACTGCGATGCAACAAGAACTGCTCGCAGCTTGTTCCGCAAAAAAAGTATTCATGGACGGTCTCGGAAGCAAGAGGAGTCGCTTGCGAACTGGATATCCCATCCGATGTAGAGTTGGCGGTTAGCACTTTGGAGATAACCAGAAGGTCTCAAAGGCAGAATCCTTTACTCCACCGAGCCGCCTTTGTAACTCTGCGCCATGACCTGCAGAATCTGGATCTCACCTTATGGAGAATTAAGGAAGATTCGGATTCGGAGAACGACGACGATGCAATCATTCCCGACAATGCTGCTTACATGAAGCTTGGCAGGACAAGTCGGCACTTCCAGTCTTTGAAAACGAGCAGAATTTCAGAAGTCCTGGGTCTTCGGTTTCGCGATATCCTGCACCACCACGGCCGTGTACGTGTGTTCGTTTTCAACTGCAGCAGAAGGCTGTTGCTTATGACCAGAATCCTACGGGATGCCTTGGTTGGGCACGACCTTAGTGGCGGAGGTTTGTATGACATCCCTGGTTTAGATGCCGACAACCTTTTGAAGACCCGACAAAACCTAATTGCGAATGTGTCAATGAGGAAAACAAAGGGCCACGTGCCAGCGTCCACTGCAGCACGCCTGATGAAGCGGGCCAGTGGCCCCAGATGAGTCTGCAATCGTTGTTGCGACTATTTGCAGAATCGTTATTGTCAGCGTGTTCAGTATTGCTACCATTCCTCTCTTGGTCGTGAGTGGTGTCCAAGGGATGGTTCAGGACAGGAGCTACAGAGTATACTATCGGCTATGAATGTGTTCGGCCTGTCGTCGACTTGCGTGTACTGGTGATTTGGAAGACTTACACCAGTTTGTGTCGTGTGTCAAGACTCAGGGAGGCTTGTAACTGCCATATGCGGTGCAGACGTATATACTATAAACATTTACAATTTCGTGCGGGGAGGGGTGCACCCACACTTCAACCAACAAGAGCATTCCTTATCGCACCATATGTAGTGCAAAGTGTCCAAAAGTAGTACTTGCAAGCTGTGCGCTCGGTGCTCTGAATCTGGTTTGCGAACAGTTCGAGAATGGCATGCCGAGATGCATCTCTGGCTTCATTCCTCAAATCCTGACGCGCATACCGAGAAGGGTGCCAAAAGACGCTACCTTTACGCAGATCTGAGAAAAGGCAACAATGCCGACTGAGAGTACTTCGGAGACTCATCGTGATATCCGTCGAACTGCTAAGCGCGACACTGAGACTAAGACGAAAGAGCAATAAATAGTGGATGACTGCGAAAGGACCACAATCAGCCAGTTGACATAGGAAGCACGCCTGAGAAGGTCATAGAATGGTGCAGAATGTCCCTTGTGGTCATCCAATGTCTAAGGTCAGGAAAGGCGTGTCGCTGGTGACATCGAAATTCGCAACGAAGGCTTCTGCTGTGTGAGTTGCGACCTACCGGTGTCGATTCCCAAGCATCATTTCAGGCTTGGCTCAGAGACTCTCAATAATCATAATAATAAAAATAGAAATAATGTAATTAAAATAATAATAATAATAATGATAATACGTTTTACGTCGCCTTCTGAGCACTTGCCAGGCCCGGAGCTTCCAGGAAGACGACAGCATTCAGTACAATGCCGGAGAGATCCGACTGCGGATGAAGCTGGTGCGAACGGTGCCGGAAGGACAGGGCCTGCCATGTCAGTCTCAATAGCACAAATCTTCTCAGACTCTGTGCCTATCCAGTTCAGCTTTCATAGACCGGATAAGAGCCTTGCGCGAGTTTCCCCCATGAAGGAATCGATGCCTTTGCTCGGGCTCTCTCGCCTTCGTACCTTGTCTCGTAGGCGATCACATAGCCCCCAGCCCGAAGCCCCCAACGTCTGCTTTGCAAAAGCTGGGGAGCTTGACAATGCACCGCTGAACCTGTCTGAGGTATTTCACTTATGACACCTTTGTCCAGGAGGAGAACTTGCCGCAACTGGATTTGCAGGAGCTGCTGGATGATGCGATGGACATCAAGTTAACGCACCCCAGTTTCATGAGTCAATAGCATGGCAGCATGATGGGCGTGGCTACTGCCCACTGCCATGCCAGTGCCGGAACCTGCTCCGCATCCAGAGCATCTGAGGCTCTTTGATGATATCATTTTTGTCATCTGCCTCAGATCGTGACAGCCAATTTGTAAATCAAGCCCTCTGTTCCTGCGAGTCAGGCCGAGATTGTCTTCGTATCTTGTCATGCATTGCGCAATAGTTCGGACTTCCTTATGCTTGAGGCTGTTATGGCCTTCTGCTACTACATCTTCGCGTGGAGGTCCTTTCTCCTTTCCGGACTCCTCCTGTCAGCTGCACTGGCCTTAGCGATGCACTGCATGGCACAGCTTCTGGAGTCTACGGCTCATGCTTTCCGCAGGATCTCCCGTGCTTGTATCCCCTTGCACGAAAACATTTGCACGCAAAGATGTCGAATCACCGAGCTGGAAACTGGGTTTCCGGCTGCTGTAGCTTGGGTTTAGCTGCCCAGCCGACCAATCACCAATCTCCTTTCCACAGCAGTCCCACTCATGCTGGGGGTTGCCAATCAGAAGCCTTGATACCTGAGGGCCTTTGCTGTGCAAAGAATGTGCCATAGCTGCAAGTTGCAGTTTGGGGCGAACAGATCCTCCTTTCTGCAGAAGTCGTAAAGGCATCGGCTGGATGAAGCACACATTGGTGAAGTATACCCGGTCCACCCACGGTTTCTGCAGCTGTTGCAGATCTGAGGCCGTGCTGGGCACCGCAGCTCTGAACTTATGGACGGGACTTGAACCTCAGCTCAGATTAGCAAAGCTCGACTTCACCGAGTAGACGCAACAGCAGGTTGTGGTCCGGGGACATTTTCACGTTCTGCATCTGCGGGGTCTTGGCATCACAGAGCCAGGTGCTGGTGATCATGGCCAACAAAACATGGCGTGATGAGATGACGACAAACGGCGGCTCGGCCACCGTAGCAGAAGATGAACAGCGCAGTTCGTGCGGAAAGTGCCCTCGAGGAGTTTGGCCAGGTCAGAAGTAAGTAGAGAGAGCCACAAGCTCCATATGTCCGATACCCATAGGCCCCATAGTAGTTCCTTTTTTGGGGTTACCGTATAGGATTCTATATATGAACCCCAAAAAGGAACTACTTTAGGGCCTATATGGGTAGAGCCCATGTCGGAGGTCTCAACGCACCATTGGACCAACGAGGCTTGGAGCTCGTCGCGGCATGGAATGAGACATCAGCCTCACGTCTTGTGAAGGTTGTCTATTGATCATGCCCTGACCCCCCAGGTACCTACTACAAAGGGCCCCAGGGGCTCTAGTGCCCTATGTAGTAGGTACCTGCGGGGTTAGGGCATGATGTTGTCCTTAGTTTTGCATGGTTTTCATGGCAATTCCGAGAGAGGGCTCCTGTAGGTGCCCCTTTGACAAGAGAAGCTGCACCGCCAAGGAGATGCACGCATTTCTGGTGCGGTTGGTGCAGTCCAGAAATGGACAGATAGTGAGCATGCAGGACGCCTTGCACCATGTGCTCATGCTGCACAATTACTGATTTTGTCCCCAGGACTTGGTGCACTTCGCCGGCACAATAACGGTCGGACGAGGTGAGCTCGAGATTACCTTCAAAGAGCTGAAAAGTGCCATGCAGGATCTCGTGGCGGCAGTTGTTTTCTCCTTTTAAGCATCCAGATGGAGCTGGTTTAGACATATAGTTCCTGTTATACATGGACATATGTGACCATGTTTTCAAGCGTGTTGGCACATCTTGAACTTCAGTCTGCCTTTTCTACCGTGCGGGGGCTTGGATAGTTTGCTATTGGGAGGGCGCGCTATCCTACGATAGTTACTACTTCGGCCAACCCGGAAAGCTTTCAGCTGGCGCGCACTCAGGATCTTTGGTTCGTTGACTTTCCGAAGCAGACGGATTTGAAGAAAGGATCCCTGGTTCGGGTCCAGGCGAGGGCAATGAAGCGACTCTTCCTTGCGTATCCTTGCGTCAGTTTCTGGATGAGCCCGTGCTTGATGGACAGGAGCGTCAGAAAGGCACTGTAATTGCTATTTCGTCAGACGAGCTACGCCCTCAGCCGTGAGCAGGCAGGCTCGTGCACGGGCTCCCTGTGACGGCTTGATTCGGGCTTTGTGGCATGAAGGCTGCCATGCGATTCGCAACCCATGTTGCCACCGCCACCAGTCTGACTGCACAGACTGACGAGCCAAGGAAAGTGACAGTGCAAATCGACGTAGAGGACCAAGACGAGCAGCTCGACTGTAGGAAATGAGCTAACACTCGTTTGTACCAATTGTGAAAGCTATTCACGAAAATTCCGTCATCGCGAGCATTGCTCGACATTGCCAGGGCTTAGCAAATGAAGCCATTCAAGCACATGGCTACTTCTCCCATTCGCTGCGGCTCGATGATGTTTTTGATTAAACGGTTAGGCTAGCGGCTAGCTGCCAGCTTAATGTTGGGGTGGAGGGGCAGATGGGGGCGGGAACTGGCATGTGAAGCCAGAATTCGTCGCATCAAAACTCCAGCACCCATCCAAGGCCCATGCGATTGCAGGATTGTTGTGCAGCCTTGCTGACTGAGTGACATCGGCATGGGCGTCTATGCCATGGAAGACGTCACCGTTCGCATGGCGCCACCACCCATACCGAAGATGCTGGTGCCAAGAAGCCCCGAAGCCGCAGAGGGGAACAGAGATGTGGCTGGAGCCAAAGGGTGACGATGCCATGCTAGGTAGTGGCACCTTGCAGAAATTTCCCGAGGCATGCAGGGACTGGCGGCCACTCTTCAGCCTCGTTCTGAGTAATTATGTCTGAGATGGGCATGAGTTGCGTTTGTCATGTGCGGCCCAGTGGGTCCCGGATGCATGCTGGGGCTTCATAGCTACCTTGCACCGGTGGGTCGAGGTTTCAGGTAAACAGCGTGCGCGATGACTTGATGGCCCTGGCCCGGCAGCTACAGGCCCACATATCCTTGTTATGAAGATCTGAGTATTGCATGTGCTGTGGCAAGACGCCCGGTGGCAGCTGCCGCACACGCTGGCACGAGCACACACACACACACACACACACACACTCACACTCACGCACGCGTTTCCTGTTTCGCGTAGCCGGTGGACCTGCGAGGCGTTCATGAGATGGCACATGCCTGTCAAAATGCTCATCGTTGTTTGCTTCGTGTTCGCACGAGGCTCCTTGCCACTTGTCTTGCAGATAATCAGATAGAAACTGGCGTTAAAGTGTCAGAAGGGCTGAACCACTCTTGCAGGACAGAAGCCAGGGATTTTTGCATAGTCATGCAGACTGTGATGCACTGCTGTTGCGGTCCTACATACAGATGAAAAGACACCGCTGTTGATGTTGCTGGTGATGATGGCGACATGTTGATGATTGTCAGTGTGATAGCCACAGAGCCCAGTTTTGGCGCCTCTTGTGATGCTGAGGACAATGCTCGGTGATTATACTATCGAACTGGTTCGCTCGGTTCAGCCGTGAATTTTGCAATTCGAGTCGTTGCAGTGGCAATGGCTTAATTTGGTGGCGTCGCGGTGACGACTATGATAATGAGAATAATCGATATCATTGCCGGGGCGGTGGGAGCAATCGGGTCTGAGGGGGCGGTTTCGGTGGAGCTCATATGTACAGCAACATCGTCACCACATGGATATCACACCTCCGTCCATTATGATTCAAACTGAAATTCTAGCGGGGACTTGATTGTTCATGTATGTCCACGATGAGTCTTTGCGTACTCTCTGTGGTTCCATATGGTAATTGCAACGACGCTTGCTGTGATCAGCCCGAACGTCCTCCGAGTACTGTAAGAGGCCTCCGCTGGCCCATGTTCCACGTACTCTTCGTGTGTGTGTGTGTGTGTCTTCGAGTGTTTGTCAAAAGCAAGACTTTCTGTTATGCCAAGCACATTCTGAAACACTTCTGATACTGGCATTGCCATTATTCATGCAACGGTTGCTGCGTGGAGCTGCAAGCAGAACCTACAGCGCTTCTTGCTACCACTGCCACTCTTGTTATAGCTAGTGTTGCTGTTGCATTTGGCTGCTGGTGTTGCCAATGTTACCACCCTGAGGGCTCAGAGTGTTCTCCCACGCGCCGTGCAGAAATCCTTGCAGAGCCTTGGGTGATCATGGGTTCAGAAATGGAGGCCAAGCTTCAGGAGCTCGAGGCAAGGTTGGCGGCTCTGGAAAGCGCCGGACCGGGTGGCGAAGACGGCGTCCTGCCCTCACGAAAGACCGGCGGTGATGCCCAGATCATGAAAAAGGTGGCCACCCGCTTGCAAGACTTCGAGTCGCAGATCACTGCCCAGCTGGCGAATTTGCAAACGGACTTCGACAAAAAACTCAGCCACGTGAACCGCGGGGCAGCAGCAACGAAACCGGTGGATGGTGCCGGCGGGGC